ATTCCCTAACAAGATTAATAGGACAGATGGCCCCAGGACTACACTTCCTAGAATGGGATTTTTGCTTACATATTGGGACTAAAACACTATCTCCACATATCCAGCTAGTTAGTAAAGTCATCTATAGGGGCCACAGATGATGCAATCAGTTGCTAGGTTATGACCCTGCTGTCATAAAAATTCCCTTGAATAAAAAGCAATTTAAACAGTCTTGCCCCTATCTCTAGATCTTCAGATAGCACTGTCTAATTATGCAGGCCATTTATTTAGAGCATGCCCTTCCTGCTGACAAATTACTTCAGTGCTTATCTTGTAGTCTTGTAGTTATGCCTACAAAAGTAGTCCACTCCCTCTTTAATGTTGTTTACTGATGGCTTTGGTAAGAAAGGAAAAGCCATTCTGCTGGAAGCCACGTAATTCCCTCATTTGATCTATATTTACTGGCACTCAGAGAGCTGAGGTTGGATCCCAGTATTGGCCCTGGAAACCTTTTATACTCAGCCCATTAATGTTGTTAGTGACTCTGCTTACTCTGTTTGTTTATTGCAGAACCTTGAGACAGCCCTCATTAAGTTCACTCTTGAGCCCACCCTCTGTGTACCTTTTCTTTGACTTCAACGATTGCTGGATCAATGAACATATCCTAATTTTTTCCCACATATTTGAGCACACAGTTCACTGCTTGGGCCACTAGCTTATGGAAATGATTGAGCAGACCAACAAGTTATGATGTCACTACTAGCACAAGCCTTATCTATCCTTAATTTCTTAAATTTAAATGATAAATTTCAATCAGCTATAGATAACTACTTTGCTAAAACCTCTCAAGACATAAAACCCACAGTTTTATGGAAACATGTAAATAGTAATGTATGGTATGGTCCAAATGATTTGCTAATATGGGGAAGAGGATATGCTTGTGTTCACACCGCCTCAGGTCCTCTTTGGATTACAGCACATTGCATCAAACCTTACCATAGCATGGCCAGAACCTAAGCCGGTATCAAAAATAAAGGAAATAACCATGCAAGACCTGCAGCCCCAGACAATGCAGCTTCTTTGGGCAACACAGGTTCCAGCCATTATGCTGAAACTGGAAAAGTTGTATGGAGCCCAAGGATGACCCTGGATTTGTTTTCTATTGCTGTAGAAAAAATTGCCACAAACTTGATGGCTTAAAACAACAGCTATTTATTAGCTCACAGTTATATAGGTGAGAAGTCTGAGTGGGCTTGGATGGGCTCTATTCTCAGGATATCAAAAGCCCAAATTCAAGAGGTTAACCATACTGAAGAAGACAACTCAGGAGGCTGAGCAAATTGTGCTCCAGGCACAAACACATTCACGCCAGATAATTGTTCCTTTTTTCTTCTCTTACTTTGCCTGCAACCTGTACCTGCTACACTCTATTGAACTCATCTTCTAAATCTGCCTTTTTTCTACCCTGTTACTTGGGCAGGCACCCCATTCCCAGCCTCTAACAACACAACTACTTGTCTAAGAAGGATTATTATTCCCCTGTGGGGTCCCTCAGTAACAGCACACATTGGACTAAGGTACCAAGTAACAATACAGGTCACTCCTTGATTGAAAAAGATGTTTGTCTTATGTTATTTACTAATTCTAAGATGCGAAACCAGAGTGTGAATTATAACCACCATGCCCAGCAAACCTGTTGTTCGCTCATGTCTATACTCTTCAGTCAACAAAACCTAATGCAAAAAACAGAAAAAGAGAAGATGTAGAAGATTGGTCAGGGTGGAAGGAAAGATTATTAGGAAAGAGGTAAACCTTCTTGAAAGGCAGGGAGGTTTTGCAAAGCTTTGGGAAGGAATAAGCTGAAGGCGACTGTCCTTACCCTGAGGTACAAAGGCAAGGAGTAGGTACAAAGAAATGTAAGAGAGTTTATCTAAATAGCTTGTTTACTCATGTTGTCCTAAGACCAATCTTTGCTCATCCCCATGCTTGATGGCTCTCTATACAGGCGGTCAGCAATGTTAGTTACCCACAAATGGTGTTTGCTCAAGACCTTTGTCATTAAATCTGTACTAAATAAATGTGAATGTCTCTGGCATATTGGGGCTGCACAGCCACACTCCCTCTTTGGGGTCTGTAAGCTGTGTGGTACCCTAGCTGAGCTCTAGGCAAAAACCTGTATCAGCATATGTCTTTCATCCATCGCTCAGCCAGAGTCTGCGGGACAGACTTGGCACAACACAATGATCACTCCTAGCTTTGGAGATGAAGGGGACTATGTGCAGGGATTGGAATGAGGTCAGTAGGAGTTGAGAGTGGCCCCTGGTCAAAGCCAGGCAACAGCCTGGGACTTCAGTCTTATGGCCACTAGACCTGAATTCTGCCAACAATTGGAATAAACTTGGAAGTTTCTTTCCCAGAACCTCCAGACAAGAGCACAGTATGTTTAACCTCTTGAATTTGGGCTTTTGATACCCTGAGAATAGAGCTCATCCAAGCCCACTCAGACTTCTGACCTATATAACTGTGAGCTAATTAATGGCTGTTGTTTTAAGCCATCAAGGTCGTGGCAATTTTTTCTACAGCAATAGAAAACAAATCCAGGGTCATCCTTGGGCTCCATACGACTTTTCCAATTTCCTGAGATACAAGCTGTGGTTGACTTCTGGTTCTTCCAAGCCCAAGGTAAGTGAGTTCTGAGGAGTTAGCCCATCTGTGGTTAAACCTATGCCTTGTGCCTGCAGAATCTGAGCTGCTGGCCCACAGATGCTCATACATGCTAATCTGGAGCTCATCTGAAGACCAAGGTTGTCGCCATAATGGATATCCCCAAGAAGAATTCTTTGGGCACCAGTTTGTGGGAACTAGCTTCCCTACTGGGGTGGAAGCACATGAACAGCCTGGTAGGCCATTGGCTTAGGCAATCTCCCATCATTTGGGGTGTGCGTGTGCGTGTGCGTGTGTGTGTGTGTGTGTGTGTGTGTGTGTGTGTTTTAAACTTTTCCTAGTTGTTGCTCACCTTAGATGTCACCTATTGCTTCTTGTTGGTAGGACCAGACCTCAGGCAGCCTTGGCTGAGGCATTTGGGGGTGAGGTTGCATAGAGATAAAAACAATTACCTGGCAGGCATGTGAGTGACACAGAAATTAGAATGTCATGCGACCCAGCTGAGGTCAGAATGTGTGAGAAAGCCCAAAGTAATGGCTCTCCCTCTGGGTGAGAACATCCAAAAGATGCCAAAGGGAGAACTCATCCTCAAGGTGAATCAGCTTCTGAGGAGTGACTGACACGGTGGCAACCCTGGGGTAGGATGCTTGGCCGAGCTCCATCTGATGGAGGACAGACCAGGGAAAGCTGAAGCTGAGGGCTCTCTGGGCTCAGGTTGAGTTTCCTGAAGCAGCCCAGTGTGTCTCTTAGCAGGACCAGAAGCAGGGGGAAGGTAAATTCCTGAAAAGGAGCCACCTCCATCTTACAGGTGAAAACGGCCTTGCCCCAAAGATGTGATAACAGAGGGTAGGCAGGTGAGAACCAGAGGGCCATGGTAAGCACTGGGTGTATAGACACAGGAGGAAAACTGTGTTTCTTGAAAACTCAGCAGTGAGGAAACCTGGCCACAGGCCAAGAGGAAGACAGCTGCTTCCGGGTAAGCCCTGAAACCCATTTGGGGATCAACCGATTTCTCCAGGCCTACAGGTGTCGCACTGGTGCCTGGAGAAAAGGAGGGCTCTGGTGGTTCACAGTTGTCACTGAGTCCTTGCTGGTGGCTGTGGTTGTGGTGGAATAAACACTCATGAAGCTACTGGGCCCCCGTGGCACAAGGTAGGGCAGGTAGTTGGTGTCTGGCATTGGACACTGTGGGGTGGCATCATGGGGAGGCTGGGTTCCATTGGAGGCAGAAAGAAACATGAGGAGGGAGGAGAGTGCTGATGGCCTCACCTTAAGGCTGGGTCATTCTCTTCCTGAAGAAGAGACTTGTGGTGACATCATCTGATGTCTATTTCATTAATGAGGAAGGTGGAGTCACCACAAATCAGCCTTGGAAATAAGCATGGGCTTGTGGCATTTTAAACCAACCTTGGGCCCAAGAGTCAGTATAATCATCTTTTGGTGCCAAGGTGACAGGTCCAGAGGGACCTGAATTTGGTGCTGATCAATCCCTTTCCTTCAACAGAGGTACAGATTTGTGTTTGCTCCAGCGGTGGGAGCTGGGACAGCACACGGCAGGCTAGAGGAGGGAGCAGCAGGGGTGGAGGCTGGCTGGAGCAGCCACCGTGCAGTGTGACTTTGTGCAAGCCCTTTCCCATCTCTGGGAAAGTGTCTGCGAGAAGCAGGCTGATCTTGCAGATCTTGCAGATCTCCTTGGTACCCAGTAGGTCTGCTGCCAACCATGGAGCCTGTGATACCTGTAAGCTTGGCTGGCAGTCCCTAGTCCACGGGGGTCCTGAGTGCTCTCTCTGACTCCTTTGTAAAATAGAGATTGGACTCATTGAGCATCCCTATCTCTTCTGCCTCCAATGCCCCAAATGTCTAACTGTGTGAAAATCAGTGATTGTCTCTCTGTGACCCTATTCTTGGTCCTTCCCAAGACCATTCATATGTTGGGACTTAAAGTTTGTGTTTTCTGAAGGTAGCATGCTGTCCACACTGTGGGGAAAGCTGACACGATTTCATATTGCCTCCCCTCTAGTGTCCTGTGGTTTTAGAGCCTCTGAAGTGTGGTCTGCCATTTATCTTTCTGTCTCCTGGGGCATTTGCCTGTTTTCATCATCTGTGGGCTGTGCAACAGCCCTGAGCAGGGCATGGTGACCATAGGAAGGGATGTCTCGAGGGCTATGTTCTCTCTCAGGCAGACATGTGTAAGAGGAAGGTATGAATAACTAGAAACTTCTTAATGGTAGGGCCAGCACCAGCACCAGTGGTTAATCATAGCAAAATTCTCTTGCCACACACACAGCAAAGAGTTTTTATCACTTGCCCTGAGTAGCTGCTGATGTCTCCCACTTTTCCTTGTCCTTGGCTCTTAGAAAGAAAAGTTTCAAGATGATTCGGTCCCAGTCCCTGTCTCTGCAAATGCCGACACAGCAAGATTGGAAGGGCCCCCCGACAACCAGTCCGGCCATGTCTCCCACAACCCCTGTGCTCACTGGAGCCACTTCCCAGCCCATGCCAACACCCTATGCCATGCCCGAGTTCCAGCGGGTCACCATCAGCGGAGACTACTGTGCTGGGGTAAGGTGTCTGTGGGAGTATTGGATGTATCTTGCATGCAGAGGCCAGGGGCCCCATGGGCCACAGGGTCGTGCCCACCTCTGGAGCCTGACCCTGTCTGTGGGTGTCTGGGAGAAGGTGGAGAGGAGGCACAGGAGGCAAAGAGGGTCCTAACAGAAGTTGTGGGCTGTGGTTGTGATGTTTCAGTGGCTGCCTGTTCCCTGTGAGGAGGGCCCTGGGCTGCAGGCTGGCACACTGTGGCTGTGGTTTATAAGTTCCACATGTTCTCTAAGTCTGGAAAGCTGGCATAGGTCCCCACAGCCCATTGAGAAAGGTGCCAGCTTGGGCCTTTCAGTGTCGCCATATGTTTAGTAGATTCAAAGTAATGGTACTGACTGGTTTGTGTGAAATTCGTTACTGCTAAATCATCTCTTTTTACATGTGTGGGTTCAGTACCCTTAAATATAGCTAGACCCCCTCAACCAGGAAGAGAGAATCTTGATTAGAAATTGAACAAGTTTAGTTTACACCAAGTCAGTTAATGCAATCATTGAAAATGTGCTAATTTAACCTGATCGGATGATGCATTTTTCTGAATGCCTACTTCTTGGAGAGAAATATCACTGAGTTAGTGCCAGGGTTAAACTTGGCTCCATCTCCCTGGCCCCAACTCACTACTTATGCCTCAGTTGGCTTTGTTAGGTTCTGTTTTTAACAGTAGCTGTAGAAAATACGGTAAATCCAAGAGAGCAATGCAGCTTATTGCTTTTCCTATAAAATTTCCCCTAGTATCAAAATTATTATTATTTTTTGTTGCGTGTAATGGAGAATACTTGCATACGGTACAACATTTGAAAGATACAAAAATGGTATCAGTTATTCAGGCACCCATTCTCCTCCTCAGAGGCAACCATTGGCTTTGGTTTCTTACGTATTCTCACATATATGGTCTACGTACCTACAATTAATTATGCATACATAGTTTATTTTTACACAGATGGTAGTTTATTGTACATGTTATACTACATCTTGCACTTTCCACTTAACAGTACATCTTAAAGATAATGCCATATCAATATATAAAAAACTTATTTGTTCTTTTGAAAAATATATGCTTAGTATTCCTTTGTGAGGATGTGTCATATTTTATTTTAATTAAGTTCCTATGGACGGGAGTTTAGGTTGGATTGGGGACCATTCAAACCTTGTCTGGAGATCAGCATCCTGACCACAAGTCTTTGGTGTTCACTCAGCCTCAGGCAGCTGGGCAGGTCACCAGAAAACAAGAGTCAAGGTGGACTGACACCAGCTGAACGGTCCTGAGCATCCTCTCAGATGTCCTTGGCCATGGCCTGAGCCCCTTGTGATGCTGGGTCCATTGGTTCCCCAGAGCAGGTGTTTGGCTTTGTTGTTGGCAGGGACACATTGTTGTCTAAGATGTCTGTGTCTGCTCACCTCTTCCTGCTGCTCTCAGAAGCCAGCCACTGGAAAGTGTAAAATGGAATTAACATACCCTGTGGGGACATTTGGAAGCAGGAAAGGAGAATCTACCATCGTAACAAAAAGAAAGAAGTAGTATTAGTAAAATTATAAAGCATGCATAGGAAAAATATATTCAGACTTCTTCCCTCTGAAGATAGGGAAGGGAGGAGGGTAGTTTTTAGCTGTATCTCAGATGATTTATTTATTTAAACTTGTGAGAAACTTGAAAGAATTATGCTAAATATTAATACTGTCAGCTCTAGAAGGTAGTTTATATTATTTTTGGTGCTTGTCTATGTTTAAAGTGTTTCAAAATTAAAGCAGAGGAGGACACTTTCAGACACCAGTCCTCCCACCCCGCTGCCTGCCTCAGGCTCCGCCAGCATGCAGTGCCTCCCTCTGCTGCACCTCTTACCCCCCATGGTGTCTGTTTGGCCACTTGTCTCCCTAAGCACATTTCTGCAGTTCTCATCCTTCCCAGACAGACTAAGATTAATGAGCCCATTGATGAATGTATCTCATTCATCTTTGAATATGAGGCTGCTCTGGGAAAGCAGAACATCCTTAGACTTTGGGACTCAATCAGATTAGGGTCTGAAATTTGATTTTGTAGCTTCCTGGCAAGTGATTTATCCTCTCTGGGCCTCAGTTTTCCCATCTGCAAAATGGGTTGCAGTAAGGAGCAAAATGAAATCTATGGGAAGTTCTGGCACATAACACATGACAATGGGGCTTGTTGCCTGGATGAGTTGGGTGATTAACAGATTTAATCAGAAGTGTGGGATTGGCAAAGGAGCAGGCTGAGCATGCAGGAGTTGCTTTTGCTTTTTGTTTTGTTTTGACTTCTGAAGAACTCATGAATTTTCTCAGCTGAAAATGACGGTACTCATTGCCATCAGGGATAGGACTTGGGCTTTGTCCCTTCGTGGGTCTGGTGCAGAAAGAGACTTGTGGTTTAATTAGCAGCATGTGAGACCAGCTTCTGGGTATGCAGTCTGGAGCACCCATCTCTCTTCCAGCGACTCTAACTCCTCTTGTGTCTCCCGTGTTGGGGGTCTCCAAGACCACTCCCAGGTTGGATGATTCACCAGGAGGATTTACAAGATTCAGCAGATAGCTGTATTACAGCTTTATGACTGTGAAAGGATACAGAACAAATCAGTAAAGAGAGAGATACATGGAGAATACTAGGTGAAGCTTTCAAGGTCCTCTCCCAGCAGAGTTACTGGAACATACCGAATAACCTCAACATCAGATTTATGGCAGCACATGTGGGAAGTGTTGTTTACCAGAGGGAAGCTCATTAGAGATTTGGTGCCAGGGTTTTTACTAGGGCTGGTCACACATCTACAGAGCACATCCCAAATTCCAGGCTCCCAGAAGGAAAGGTGTCCAGCATAAATGATACTGCCTGTACAAACAGGTCAGGCTCAGTGAGCCACTCTTACTAGTCAGGGATTGGTGAGAACCCTTCTGAGATCCAGGTTCTCAGACACCAGGCAAAGGCCAACCTTGCAAGCAGATCTTTCCAAGGGTGGCAGTCTCAGGCCTGCTGCGTGAACACTTTCTTGCATACCTACCTTCTGCAGATCACTTTGGAGGACTATGAGCAGGCGGCCAAGAGCCTGGCCAAGGCCCTGATGATCCGGGAGAAGTATGCACGGCTTGCCTACCACCGCTTCCCGCGGATCACATCCCAGTATCTGGGCCATCAGCATGCCGATACTGCACCTCCAGAAGAGGGCCTTCCAGGTATGGAGCTCTGGCTGGAGGTTGGGTCCCAAGTGTGGGTGGACTGAGAGCTGGTCACGGCTTTTTGCTGCTTGATCTATTTCACCTGATGGTATTTTAAGGACAATGCCTTTTCATGGGCAGCTTCCACACTGATGTTTGATGATTCTCTGCAAGGATTGATTCTGATTTATTTATTGCATTTTAGGTTTTGGGGTACAATGTGAAGAACATGCAGGACTGTTGCATAGGTACACACATGGCAGCGTGATTTGCTGCCTTCCTCCCCATCAGCTATATCTGGCATTTCTCCCCATGCTATCTCTCCCCAACTCCCCACCCCCTGCTGTCCCTCCCCTATTTCCCCCCAACAGACTCCAGTGTGTGATGCTCCCCTCCCTGTGTCCATGTGTTCTCATTGTTCAACACCCGCCTATGAGTGAGAACATGCAGTGTTTGATTTTCTGTTCTTGTGTCAGTTTGCTGAGAATGATGGTTTCCAGGTTCATCCATGTCCCTACAAAGGACATGAACTCATCGTTTTTGATGGCTGCATGATATTCCATGGTGTATATGTGCCACATTTTCCCTGTCCAGTCTATCATCGATGGGCATTTGGGCTGGTTCCAGGTCTTTGCTATTGTAAACAGTGCTGCAATGAACATTCGTGTGCATGTGTCCTTAGAGTAGAACGATTTATAATCCTTTGGATATATACCCAGTAATGGGATTGCTGGGTCAAATGGAATTTCTATTTCTATGTCCTTGAGGAATCGCCACACTGTTTTTCACAATGGTTGAACTAATTTACACTCCCACCAACAGTGTAAAAGTGTTCCTATTTCTCCAAATCCTCTCCAGGCATCTGTTGTCTCCAGATTTTTTAATGATCGCCATTCTAATTGGTGTGAGGTACTATCTCAATGTAGTTTTGATTTGCATTTCTCTAATGACCAGTGATGATGAGCATTTTTTCATATGTTTGTTGGCCTCATGTATGTCTTCTTTTGTAAAGTGTCTGTTCATATCCTTCGCCCACTTTTGAATGGGCTTGTTTGTTTTTTCCTTGTAAATCTGTTTTAGTTCTTTGTAAATTCTGGCTATCAGCCCTTTGTCATATGGGTAGACTGCAAAATTTTTTTCGCCTTCTGTTGGTTGCTGATTCACTCTAATGACTGTTTCTTTTGCCGTGTAGAAGTTGTGGAGTTTGATTAGGTCGCATTTGTCTATTTTGGCTTTTGTTGCTAATGCTTTTGGTGTTTTGGTCATGAAGTCCTTGCCTACGCCTATGTCCTGAATGGTTTTGCCTAGATTTTCTTCTAGGGTTTTTATGGTATTAGGTCTTATGTTTAAGTCTTTAATCCATCTGGAGTTAATTTTAGTGTAAGGTGTCAGGAAGGGGTCCTGTTTCTGCTTTCTGCACATGGCTAGCCAGTTTTCTCGACACCATTTATTGAACAGGGAATCCTTTCCCCATTGCTTGTTTTTGTCAGGTTTGTCAAAGATGAGATGGTTGTAGATGTGTTGTGTCGCCTCTGAGGCCTCTGTTCTGTTCCATTGGTCTATATCTCTGTTTTGGTACAAGTACCATGCTGTTTTGATTACTGTAGCCTTGTAGCATAGTTTGAAGTCCAGTAATGTGATGCCTCCTGCTTTGCTCTTTTTGCTTAGAATTGACTTGGCTATGTGGGCTCTCTTTTGGTTCCATATGAAGTTTAAGGTGGTTTTTTTTTCCAGTTCTGTGAAGAAGGTGATTGGTAGCCTGATGGGGATAGCATTGAACCTGTAAATTACTTTGGGCTGTATGGCCATTTTCATGATACTGATTCTTCCTAACCATGAACATGGAATGTTTCTCCATCTATTTGTGTCCTCTCTTATTTCATTGAGCAGTGGCTTGTAGTTCTCCTTGAAGAAGTCCTTTATGTTCTTTGTTAATTGTATTCCTAGGTATTTTATTCTCTTTGTAGCAATTGTGAATGGCAGTTCGTTCTTGATTTGGCTCTCTTTAAGTCTGTTATTGGTGTATAGGAATGCTTGTGATTTTTGCACATTGATTTTGTATCCTGAGGCTTTGCTGAAGTTGCTTATCAGTTTCAGGAGATTTGGGGCTGAGACGACGGGGTCTTCTAAATACACAATCATGTCATCTGCAAATAGAGGCAATTTGACTTCCTCCTTTCCTATTTGAATAGCTTTTATTTCTTTTTCTTGCCTGATTACTCTGGCTAGAACTTCCAGTACTATATTGAATAGGAGTGGTGAGAGAGGGCATCCTTGTCTAGTGCCAGATTTCAAAGGAAATGCTTCCAGTTTCTGCACATTCAGTATGATATTGGCTGTTGGTTAGTCGTAAATAGCTTTTATTATTTTGAGATACGTTCTGTCAATACCTAGTTTATTGAGGGTTTTTAGCATAAAGGGCTGTTGAATTTTGTCAAAGACCTTCTCTGCATCAATTGAGATAATCATGTGGTTTTTGTCTTTGGTTCTGTTTATGTGGTGAATTACATTTATAGACTTGCGTATGTTGAACCAGCCTTGCATACCGGGATGAATCCTACTTGATCATGGTGGATAAGCTTTTTGATGTGCTGTTGCAATTGGCTTGCCAGTATTTTATTGAAGATTTTTGCATCTATGTTCATCATGGATATTGCATGAAGGTTTCTTTTCTTGCTGAGTCTCTACCAGGTTTTGGTATCAGAATGATGTTGGTCTCATAAAATGATTTGGGAAGGATTCCCTCTTTTTGGATTATTTGGAATAGTTTCAGAAGGAATGGTAATAGCTCCTCTTTGTATGTCTGGTAAAATTCAACTGTGAACCCATCTGGAGCTGGGCTTTTTTTTGGGTGGTAGGCCTTTAATTGCTGCCTCAACTTCAGACCTTGTTATTGGTCTATTCAGGGTTTTTATTTCTTCCTGGTTTAGGCTTGGGAGGATGCAAGTGTCTAGGAATTTATCCATTTCTTCCAGGTTTACTAGTTTTTGTGCATAGAGTTGTTTGTAATAATCTCTGATGATGGTTTGAATTTCTGTGGAATCTGTGATGATATCCCCTTTATTGTTTTTTATTGCATCTATTTGCTTAGTCTCTCTTTTCTTTCTTATTCATATGGCTAGTGGTCTATTTTGTTGATCTTTTCAAAAAACTAGCTCCTGGATTTATTGAGTTTTTGAAGGGTTTTTTTGTGTCTCTATCTCCTTCAGTTCTGCTCTGATCTTTGTTATTTCTTGTCTTCTGCTAGATTTTGAGTTTTTTTGATCTTGCTCCTCTAGCTTTTTCAATTTTGACGATAGGGTGTCAATTTTCGATCTCTCCTTGCTTCTCATGTGGGCATTTATTACTATATATTTTCTTCTAGAGACTGCTTTGAATATGTCCCAGAAATTCTGGTATGTTGTGTCTTCATTCTCACTGGCTTCAAAGAACATCTTTATTTCTGTCTTCATTTCATTGGTTATCCAGTCAACATTCAAGAGCCAGTTGTTCAGTTTTCATGAAGCTGTGTGGTTCTGAGTTAGTTTCTGAATTCTGTGTTCTAGCTTGATTGCACTGTGGTCTGAGAGACTGTTTGTTATGATTTCCGTTCTTTTGCATTTCCTGAGGAGTGATTTACTTCCAATTATGTGGTCAATTTTAGAGCAGGTGTGATGTGGTGCCAAGAAGAATGTATATTCTGTGGATTTGGGGTGGAGAGTTCTGTAAATATCTATTAGATTAGTTTGATCCAGGTCTGAGTTCAAGTCCTGGATATGCTTGTTAATTTTCTGTCTCGTTGATCTGTCTAATATTGATAATGGGGTTTTAAAGTCTCCCACTATTATTGGGTGGGAGTCTAAGTCACTTAGTAAGTCCTTAAGAACTTGCCTTATGTATCTGGATGCTCCTGTATTGGGTGCATATATATTTAGGATCGTTAGCTTTTCTTGTTGCATTGATCCTTCTACCATTATGTAATGCCCTTCTTTGTCTCCTTTGATCTTTGTTGGTTTAAAGTCTATTTTATCAGAGATGAGAATTGCAACTCCTCCTTTTTTTTTTCTTTCTTTTTTTTTTTTTTTTTTGCTCTCCATTTGCTTGGTAAATCTTCCTCCATTCCTTTATTTTGAGCCTTTGTGTATCCTTGCATGTGAGATGTGTTTCCTGGATTCAGCACACCAATGGGTTTTGGCTTTTTATCCAATTTGCCAGTCTGTGTCTTTTGATTGGGGCATTTAGCCCATTTACATTTAGGGTTAATATTATTATGTGTGAATTTGATTCTGCCATTTGGATACTAGCTGGCTGTTTTGCTTGTTAGTTGATGCAGTTTCTTCATTGTGTTGATACTTTTTATCATTTGGTATGTTTTTAGAGTGGCTGGTACTGGTTGTTCCTTTCTATGTTTAGTGCCTCTTTCAGGAGCTCTTGTAAAGCAATCCTGGTGGTGATGAAATCTCTGAGTACTTGCTTGTTCGCAAAGGATTTTATTTTTCCTTCACTTATGAAGCTTAGTCTGGCTGGATATGAAATTCTGGGTTGAAAGTTTTTTTATTTAAGGATGTTGAATATTGGCCCCCACTCTCTTCTGGCTTGTAGGGTTTCTGCTGAGAGATCTGCTGTGAGTCTGATGGGCTTTCCTTTGTGGGTAACCCGACCTTTCTCTCTGGCTGCACTTAGCGTTTTCTCTTTCATTTCAACCCTGGTGAATCTGATGATTATGTGCCTTGGTGTTGCTTTTCTTGAGGAGAATCTTTGCAGGGTTCTCTGTATTTCCTGTACTTGAATGTTGGCCTGCCTTACTAGGTTGGGGAAGTTTTCCTGGATGATATCCTGAAGAGTATTTTCCAGCTTGGATTCACTCTCTCCATCACATTCAGGTACACCTATCAAACGTAGATTAGGTCTTTTCACATAGTCCCATATTTCTTGGAGACTTTGTTCATTCCTTTTTACCCTTTTTTTCTTTAATCTTGCCTTCTTGTTTTATTTCATTGAGTTGATCTTTGACCTCTGATATCCTTTCTTCTGCTTGGTCAATTTGGCTGTTGAAACTTGTGCATGCTTCGCGAAGTTCTCCTGTTATGTTTTTCAGCTCCATCAATTCACTTATATTCCTCTCTAAGTTGTCCATTATCATTAGCATTTCATCAAATCTTTTTTCAAAGTTCTTAGTTTCTTTGCATTGGGTTAGAACATGTTCTTTTAGCTCACAGAAGTTTATTACCCACCTTCTGTAACCTGATTCTGTCATTTCATCACACTCGTTCTCTATCCAGCCTTGTTCCCTTGCTGGTGAGGAGTTATGATCCCTTGTAGGAGGAGAGGGTTCTGGTTTCAGGTGCTTTCATCCTCTTTGCTCTGTTTCTTCCCATCTTTGTGGATTTATCCACCTGTCATCTTTGAAGTTGCTGACTTTCAGATTGGGTCTCTGAGTGGACGTCCAGTTTGTTGATGATGACGTTATTTCCTCTCTTTCTTAGTTTTCCCTCTAACAGTCTGGCCCCTCTGCTGTAGGACTGCTGAGGTCCACTCCAGGCCAGGCTTACCTGGGGATCACCTGCAGCGGCTGCAGAACAGTAAAGGTTGCTGCCAGTTTCTTCTTCTGCTGTCTTTGTCCCAGAAGGATACCTGCCAAATGTCTGTCTGAGCTCTCCTTTATGAGGTGACTCTTTGGATATAGGGGGGTCAGGGAGCTGCTTGAGGAGACAGTCTGTCCTTTACAGGAGCTCAAGGGCTGAGTTGTGATCTCCATTGTTCATTTAGAGCTGCTGGGCAGGTACGTTTAAGTCTACTGCAGCAGAACTCATAAACCCTTTTTTTTCCCCAGGTGCTCTGTCCTGGCTAGTTAGGGCTTGATTTATGAGTTTCCATTGTGCTGCTGCCTTTTTATCGGGGCTGCCCTGCCCAGCGAGAAGGCAGCCTAGTCACTGTCTGCCTACAGAGGCTTTGCTGAGCTGCTGTGGGCTCCGCCCAGCTACTGTGTGAACTTCCCTGCAGACCTGTTTTTACTGGTGTAGTTAGAACTGCCTCGGCAAAGCTGGCCCACCTCTCTAATGGCAGACTCTCTCTGTAATGGTGGGTTGCCTCGGCAATGGTGGGCTGCCTCAGCAGTGGCGGACTACCTCTGTAGTGGTGGACTGCCTCGGTAATGGTGGATGCCCCTCCCCCACAGAGCTGGACCTTCCTGGGTTCAGCTTTGCTTGCTGTGAAACTCTCAACCCAGAACGTTTCCAATTGCTGTTTTTTGGTTGGGGTGGGATCAGTCGAGCCTGATCACCTGACTCCCTGACTCAGAGCCTTTTTTTTTAGTTGAATGGTCAACTTTCTCCCAGGTGTTCCAGTTGCCTGTTGAAATGGCGCTGGGATCTGTGTGATTTCCCATGTGGCAACCTACTGCGCCAGCTGAAACAGTGGCACTGAGATTTGCGGCGTTTTTTTTTGCCCAGGAATCTCCTGGCCTGGCTCCCTGTTTCAGTCCCCTTTTTAATCAGATGAATGGGTGACTCTGCCTTCCCGGAGCTCCAATCACCAGCTAAAATGGTGCCTGGGCCCATGTATTTTCTACAGAGAACTGCCACCCCGGGGCACTGGCAAAGCAGCCTCACTGGCCAAACCAGTCACCCTGGCAATCCAAGGGGCTCCTCCACTTGGGAATCTTCTGGTCTGTAAGCAATAAAAATCCATCTGGAAATGCGGCATCCACTCACCCTCTGTGCTTTCACTGGGAGCTGCAATCCTGAGCTGCTCCTAATCGGCCACCTTGGTTCTCTCTTTGGTGATTTCTCAGAACTCCCAGTTAAGGCTTTCCCAGTCCTCTGAAAAGCAAAAGTGGGCTGTGACCCTCTTCTCGCAAGGATTGATTCTATGTGGGGTACACACCTAACCCTGTGCAGAGCTGAACTGTTGAAGTTAAGAGAGAGAAGTGAAAGATGGTCTCTGTTTTTGGGAGTCCACTAGGGAGGGAGACAGTCTCATGTGGGATTGTTTTTTCAAGATAGGGTCTTGGTCTGTTGCTCAGGCTGTCGCGCTGTGGTGCAATCACAGCTTACTGTAGCCTTGAACTCCTGGGCCCAAGCAATCCTACCACCTCAGCCTCTTGAGTAGCTGGGATCACAGGCACACACCACCACACCCAGCTAATTTTTAAAAAATTGTTATTATTTTTTTGTAGAGATGGGGGTTTCACCATGTTTCCCAGGCTGGTCTCAAACTCCTGGGCTAAAGTGATCCTTCTGTCTCAAACTCCCAAAGTGCTGGCATTATAGGCATGAGCCACTGTGCCTGGCCTTACGTGGCATATTTAAAACAACCCAATCAGACAGTAAATGCCACATTGGTGGTAGGGTAGATCAGGGCGGGAGTAGGAACAGAGGACATGTTCCCTGGGAAAGGGATGTGGGCTTTGGTGTCAAAAACACCTGCATTTCTGTCTGGGCTCTGTCAATTTCTTGGGATTTGGGGTGAGATATTTCTCCAAGCCTCACTTTGTAAAATGTGATCTGTAAAATGGAAATGCAAATAATACCTATCTCCCAGGGCTGTGGTGAGGACTAAACAGGAGAATGCATGTGAATTACTTAGTGCAGTTCTGGCATCTAGTGTGTATTCAATAAATAGTAGCTACGTTTATGCTGCAGAATTCAGGAAGGGGAGATCAGAGAGGGCCAGGTGGTTCCCTAGTGGAGCCTCACCCAAGAAGGACCGAGGAGCAGTAGAGGCTGTAATGAGGACAGCAGGAAACTCCACTCCTGAAAGTTGGTGGTGGGGGGACACAGAAGACCCTGGTGGTCTGCATCAGTGCCTGGGACCTGGCTGCCTCTGGGGGTACCTGGTGGTGCCAAGTTGCCCCAGTCTCTGGCTTCCTTGAATTTCAAGTCCTCTACTTTGAGCATCTTGTTATCACCTGGGGCCCTGGGTAAATCTCAGCCCTTTGGGCCCATTTTTCTGTCTATTTGAGGGAAGTGAATCTGACCATTCCAGTTTTGGCAAAGACAGATAGAAATGACTCAAACGTGTACTTTATGTGGACAGAGGACCCCAGTGTTCTGGGAATGAGTATGGTGAAAAGGAGCAACTTCTGAGCATGCAGGCTGTAGCTTCCCCTAGGCCTTGAACTGCCTGCATCTCGTAGACCACTGCAGATGTTAGGGCCTCTTGAGGTGGCCTGTGGCCATGGCTGATGGGAGACATCCCTCTCCAGCTCTGCCTGCACTGGCCCCTCTATGGCTCCTCACATGTGCTCTAGGAATGGTCTATTCCTTTCAAGCACGGATGGAGGATGTCCAGGCAGGTCACTCTGCCTTGGCAGCTTCCTCCTGCCTATGCTGGCAGCTGATCCCGATGGTGCTGGCTGAACTGCATGGAGGTGAAACCTCCAGCTCTACCGATATTTAGCATCGATACATTCCTTGGCCAGAGACAGTCTAAGAGTCAGGAAAACTCATTATGAGAATAGTAAGAATAATGCCCTGTAATTCATTATTTACAGTGCTTTACTGTTCATAAGGAATTTTCCTATACACACTATTGCAACTCTCACAGCAGCCTGTTAAGGCAGGGAGGTGTTATTTCAGATGAGGAGACAGGCTCAGAGAGGTAAAGGAGTTTGCTGAAAGTCTCACAGCAGGGAGATTGCATAGAGGAGTTTTCTGCCTCCTGTTGGCTAATTCTAACCTTAACCTATAGTGGTGGGGAGCAGATGGCTTTATCATTGGCATTCCCTGCTCTGTGGGAGGCAAGTTTCCTATCCTTTGCTCCTTTAGGGAGGAGGTGGCTTTTTCATCTAGCCCCTCAGTTGGCCTGGGCTCAGGAGGATGTGGGGAGACAGGGACAGTTACTGCCACTGGGCAGTCCAGGTGCAATCTGTTCTCTTCCTGGGAGAAGACACCACTGCCCTTTTTAGTATTCCTGGGATCCCTGCAGTGCTGAGGAAAATGAAACCCATTTCAGTTAAATTTTTAAAAACTGCTGAAGTGCCAGCATGTGCCAGGGACTGTTCTAGACACTCAGCAGTGAACAGCACAAATTAAAGTGTCTGTCTGCGTGGAGCTTCTATTGGAGTGGAGAAGGCATAATATCCGCGATGTAGAAGTGACATGGTTTGACATGGTGGTAAGTGCTGATGAGATAAAAGGAAGCAGGGAAGAACGTATGAGAAGCGGGCCCGTGCAGGTGGTCGGATTTGGGGCAGAAAGGCCAGGGCAGGCCTCCGTGTCTTTTGAGCCCATGTGTACTCTTGAGGTCAGGGGTACTTTGCCATCCTCAATCCTGTTTTGCAGACTTCCACCCTCCCCCGCTGCCCCAGGAAGACCCTTACTGCCTGGATGATGCGCCCCCCAACCTGGATTACTTGGTCCGCATGCAAGGGGGCATCCTCTTTGTGTATGATAACAAGAAGATGCTGGAGCGCCAGGAGCCGCACAGCCTGCCCTACCCCGACCTGGAGACCTACACGGTCGACATGAGCCACATCTTGGCTCTCATCACCGACGGCCCCACGTAAGCCAGCTTCCCCGCAGCCGCTTCTCTGCACAGGTGCTATTCTTTAGGAAGGAGATGAGAAAGGCCTCACCACTCTGCCCTGGGGTTCCCTGTACTTAAATCATCCCAGAAAGATCATGGTTTCCCCTTTCCTCAGTGCTTTGTGGGTTTCTGCAACAGTTTTCCTTCGTAGGCTGGCATGGCCTTAGACTTGGTACTCCCTGTTATTTATTTTTATTTTTATTTTTTGAGACAAAAATCTCACTCTCTAGCCCAGGCTGGGTGTAGTGGTGCGATCTCAGCTTACTGCAACCTCTGCCTCCTGGGTTCAAGTGGTTCTCGTCCCTGGGTAGCTGGGACTACAGGTACGTACCACCATGCCTGGCTAATTTTTTATATTTTTAGTAGAGACAGGGGTTTCACCATGTTGGCCAGGCTGTTCTCAAACTCCTGAGCTCAGGCAATCCATCTGCCTTGGCCCCCCAAAGTTCTGGGGTTACAGGCTGAGCCACTGTGCCCAGCCTTCCTGTCCCTTCTGCGTACATAGTGTGGAGCTTCTGTTTGCTGGTAGCCACCTGGGTGCCCCAGAATGGCTGTCATTCCTCTCCCCAGGCAGGATAGCAGCCTTGCAGAGAGTTACCAGCCCAGAGCATGAGTGTATTTGGTGAGGAGTGATGAAGACATTGCTTCAGGCCTTGGGTTTTCTGGGTTTCTGGAGGGGAGCATGCAGGGAGCCTGGGGAACTTTGCTTCATGACCCCATCATGCTCATGGGCTTGGCTCCAGCGCACCTGGCGGCAGCTGTCTTCCTGAATTTGGCCCACCGCTTCTTGGTAGGCACTTAGGCTGCTCAGCAATGCAGGTCAGCATTCCTGGACCCTGCGAGCCTCGGAGCCTGGGTGATGGGAGGTGCTGGTCACACCTGAGGACCACCTCTCTGGGTTTCTGGGAATCCTGTGATGCCAGTCTCCAAAGGAGCATAGTGGGCCCAAGGTGGATGGGCAGCGTGGCTCTTAGTCCTCCCGATCTGAGGGCAGAACTAAGGCATGGGAAGGGCAGGGGCGGTTCCTCCGAGGCTGTCCTCAAGCAGGTGTGCAGGCAGTGGCTATCTCATCTGGGTATCTGGGTGGTTGTCAAGGAGGATCCTGCCTGGGGAGAGGCTGAGTGAGATGGCCTTTAACTCCCTTCTGACTCTGAGGCTGTCCTGTGCTCTGTCCACTCTGGAGTCTGTCTGGGCAGATGGATGACTATGCTGTGGCAGCACCAGCAGAAGCTCTTACAGAAAGTCTATGTGACTAGATGCCAAGGAAGCTGCTGTTTGTTTTGGGGCCATGAGGCAGCAGGGAAACGTGAATTGTGGTCAAAGGTTCCGTGTGGGTGTGGATGCAGGTGTGTGGCCAGGCACCTGGGCTGGGTGTGGGCTGGCAGTTGGCCACAGCAGTGAGCACCCCCATCTCCAGTAGCCTTTGCTGGCCGAGAAATCATGGGCCCCTTCCTTGAGTTGGTGGGAATCTGGGGGCATCAGTCCTTGCAAAGATTCTGTCTCGGTAACAAATAGCCCTACAGTCCCAATCCACCCGTGATGCAAAACATCCTCTTCTTGTCATGAAACCTCAGAGTTGAGAGGTCCTCGGACCATGGCCATTAGGTCAGGGGGCTGGTTCCTCTGCATCCCAAGGTGGGCAGGTCGTGCCTTATAGTTTGATTGTGCTATCAATCCTCTGGGCAACAACTTCCTTCTTCAAGGAATGACAAGTGGCTGGGGATGGAAAAGAGGAAGGAAAGGAGGGGATGAAGGAGGGAGACTTGCAGTGAGTGTCCACTGTGCTTGGAGTCAGGCCCTCTTCCAGGCGTAAACCAGTTTAACCCTTAACTTTAACCTAGGCTGTTGCCACCTGGTATTTGCTCATGGGAAATGGAGGCTTGAGATTAATTCCCTAAATGCCTAAAGCTAGAAGTCAAAACACCTGTCTGACGTCCCAGAGCTGGCCTGCTACTGCCGCATCTCCTGACTCTCCACTGACTTTACAGAGTCTGTGGATGTGACTCAACCGTTCAGCAGGGTCCGTAGAAAACCAGAACCTCCATCCTGACCCAACCGGGATTGGCCCCTGCAGATGCTGGAGGCCTCCAAACTGGAGAGCTCAACGTGACTTCTGCTCAACTATGCTCTCTCCCCATCTCCAACTTGCAGGAAAACCTATTGTCACCGACGACTGAATTTTCTGGAATCCAAGTTCAGCCTTCATGAGATGTTAAACGAAATGTCCGAGTTCAAAGAGTTGAAGAGTAACCCCCACCGCGACTTCTATAACGTGAGAAAGGTGTGCTAGGGGCCAGTTCAAGCTGTCCCTCCCGGTCCCCCTCCGAGCCCATGGGATGCCCTGAGCCAGTCTGGGACTTGTCCCTGTGAGAATGTCAGGGCTCCAGGTTAAGGGCAGCCTTTGTGGCCAGAGGGGCATGAAGGATAGGTGCAGAAGGAGGATGGGTGAGCTGAGTTTGTGTCAGATGGGGCTTCACAGAGTACTTGAATCACGCTAGGTGGAAACCTTTGCCCACATTGTGTATCTGTTGGGATGTGCCCTCTTCCTTGGAAAATAAGGCACAGTCTCTTAATTGGTCATGAAAGTTGAGCACAGCCTACTTTTAAGGTAGGGGATGTATTAGAGTCATCAAGGAGAGACACAGCTGTTAAGATCTCTTTGGTTCCCCCGTGTCAACGTGTTCTAATTGTTTAGCTCTGTTATGAATGAGAACATGCCGTGTTTGGTTTTCTGCTCCTGTGTTAGTTTGCTGAGGATGATGGCTTCCAGCTGGGCTTAATACCTGTGTGATGGGTTGATGGGTGCAGCAGACCACCATGGCACATGTTTACCCATGTAACAAGTCTGCACATTCTGCACATGTATCCTGGAACTTTAAAGTAAAATAAATAAGTAAATAAAATAAAATGTAAATTCCCTGAAGGAAAAAAAGATCTCTGGAGTTGGAAGTTTGTGGTTTTGCATCCTTCAGGATTATGTGGATTTTCAGAAAAGCCTCTAATATGCTCAGATCTCTGCCTTTCTTCTCCTACTGAGGGGATGGCAGCCTTGTCTGGGGCTCCTGGCATTCTCTGCCTGCAGGGGCTGCAGCTGCGGAGTGAAGGTTAAATGATCATGGCCCTAGGGTTTTCATTCTCTTCTGCTGAAGCACTGTGCAGTGAGGCACAGGGTCAGTGCTAGGTAGGGGGTGTTTGATGGTGAGCAAGAGTCACTTCCTGTCGACCAGGTGGCTTTGAGGGAGAGGCTGAAACTGAGCTGACTCAGAGTGAGTAGGAGCTTGCCAGGCAGAGGGTGTGGTAGGGGAATGGAAGTGGCATTCCAGGTGGAGGCATGTGATGTGCAAATGTCATGAGAGAGTCAGAACAGTGTGTTGACGTAACTGCAAGCTGTGCAGTGTGCCTGGAGCTCAGGCATGGGGAGCAGGGAGCAGTGAGTTGTGGGAGCAGTGGGTTGTAGGGAGAGTGAGGTTGCAGAGATGTGGGGAGGCCCTGGATCATACAGGGCTGTGGGTTTCCCACAGAAGGCAGGGAGGTGGGCTGGGGTGTGGCCGTGAGCTGGGAGAGAAACCCCTGGGGGATGAGGCTTTGTTTGGAAGGGGGATGGCGAAAGCTGAGCAGAGTCACAGTGGGATTGTCATCTCCATAGGGGCTCTATCCCAGCTGGGACCTCTTGAGGACTTCCTCTTTCTGAGGTCACCTTTAATAAGGGAGGGTAGGCCAGGGGAGGATGTGGCTCCTCTGGGAAAGCCCAGCTCCTGCCTCCCTGACCTCCTGGCTGGGAGCCCTCAGCAGTACAGATGGAAGACCCTATATGAAGGCCCTAAGACCACCTCTGTTACACAGGGTGTCCAACATAGACTCCCACTTGGATGGGATCAAGAGCTTTAAGATGTAAGAACTTGGCTTCAGCTCATGGGCCCTGAGAGGCTTATGGAAGTGTCTTAGAGAGTTCCAGGCAGAAGGAAAAGGTGTTTTAGATACCACTTATGTGGGCATCCTGGCATTTTCACCTTCAAGCACCATTTGTTCCTTCTCTGTGAGCCTTAGGTATTCAGACAGGTGGATGCCTCCCTCACTATGTGAACTCCTCTCAGCCTTGCCCAAAGAACCTCACACGCCTAGCTCATGCCCAAGCCCACGTCCAAAGAAACGCCTCACCCAGCCCAGCACAGCCCTGCCCTGTGCATACATGAATGCTCTGGGCTTGCCTGCTTCCTGCTGCCTGGGGCCAAAGTGTCCTTGCTGACTGCACTGGCACTGACACTGTTTGCTTCTAAGGTGGGGCCCCAGTGGGCGTTCCTGGGTCTACCAGCTGCTCTGTGGCCACAACATGAGAAAGAGTCTTGGTGTGGGGCTAGGGTTACAAATCAGAGACTATCCCCAGGGTTTTCCTGCAGTTTTGGGGCTAACGTTTTCTGTGGACAGAGATGACCTTGATACCTATGACACAGTGGCCTGTTCTTAGGCACCATAGTCAGTCCATAAGCATGGATGCAGGTCTCCTATGAGTCAGGCCTGTGCCTACCCTCTGGGTGCTGCCTACTTGATAGCACTCTTTTTTTTTTTTTTTGAGATGGAGTTTTGCTTATGTTGCCCAGGCTGGAGTGCAGTGGTACAATTTTGGCTCACTGCAATCTCTCCCTCCTGGGTTCAAGCAATTCTCCTGCCTCAGCCTCCGGAGTAGCTGGGATTACAGAGTGCCCGCCACCATGCCCAGCTAATTTTTGTATTTTTAGTAGAGGTGGGTTTTTGCCATGTTGCCCAGGCCGGTCTTGAACTCCTGGCCTCAGGTGGATCCGCCTGCCTAGGCCTCCCAAAGTGCTGAGATTACAGGCGTGAGCCACCATGCCTGGCCTTGATGGGGAGGAGAGCTGCTTTCTCAAATCCAGAATGGGCTGGATGGTGGCCTCCATATGTCTAAAGTGGCTGTTGGCGTCCCTGGGGCAGACAAGGGCTGTGCTCTGAGGCAGGTGCTGTGATGAGGCTGTAGATCTGTGTGAGTGGCATCTGTGAAGGCGCCTGTCACATTGCAGCAGGTGAAGGGCTGTATGACACCCCGAGACCCAGCCAGCAGGACTGTGACTGAGATACTTATTTTCTATGCAAAAGCAAGATAGAAGGGCTGAGTGTGTTTGCTGCTTGGGAATTGGGTACAAGTTGGTGATATCCACTGTGGTTTAAGTGTCATATCAAGAATAGCAAATAGATTTTATCTTCTGTGCCAAACCTGACCAGTTAGGGGTAGTTACCAGAGGCCAGCCCTAAAGCCTAGTGAGAAGAGTGTTGTCCTCGATTGTTGATGCCTGCTATGGGTATGGAAATGGTCAGTGCTGGCTTAGGTCCCAGGTTTGGAAACTCTGCTCTTTGTTTAGATCTGAATCTTAGGTGAACATGGGGAATGCAATTGGATCCTCTGGTGAATTGAAAACACTAACCTCCAGTGACCTTCAATTATTTTGTTCCTGAAATAATCACCCTTGAGATTCTGAAGTTTGGATGGGGTGCTTCCTGGATTGTCCAGTTGTTTTCTTCATTTATCTTGTGACTCATGGGGGTAAGGACAGGTTGACCCCCCCCTGTGGTTGTCATTGGTAAGATAGAGGACAGGACCAGAAAGCCCAGAATCTGCTGAGTCATGCTGAGGTCGTTGCAGCAAGCTGAGTCCAGCTGAGCTGAGCCAGGCTGACCTTCTCTTGTGCATCCCACATGAGCCCAGCCTCGTCTCTGAGGAACCTGCGTTTTGGGGATGTTTTAGCGTTTTGCTTTGTTTTGTTTCCCCAGTGTCCAGTGATCTGTTTTTCTGGTAAGAGTGGCAAGATTAATGGCAGGAAGGACCCTGACGAGTGAGTGCTGTGGCCAACAACATGGGCGGGCTGGCATAATGCTCACAGAGGTCCAGTGGATCAAATGTCTGGTTTGGCATGACCTGGAGATGCCCAGCCAGCTGTGGACAGCATTCCCTGCCCTGAGGTCAGCCGCCTCCTCACCCCAGCCTGGGCTGAGTGCCCAGTCGGCCGCAGCAGTAGCTCTAGAGTGTGGTCTAATGGCTGTCAGCAGCCTAGGCTGTGAGGCTGCTGTCATCCTCCCCAGGAGCTCTTGTAGGCCCCTTGGGCTCAGGGAGGGAAGTCAGTTTGCCCACAGTGACTTCAGGCCGTCCCTCAGCTTAGCTGGGGCTTCATTTCCTTAGGGCTGGTGGCTGTCCTGTGAGTGAAGCACACAGAAAAGGGAAAGTGGGGATGAGGGGATGGGGAGGTGGGTGGGATCCAGGTAATATTAGCAGAGCCCTCAACCTAAGATTAATGAAGACAGTTTAGTAACAGAATCTAATTACATTTAAAAAAAATCCCTTCTAGCTTCTGTGTGTGGAGAATGAACTGAACCAGAACACACGAAAAAGGGAACAAGACCAGTCAGGAGGTCACGGTGAATTCAGGCATGAGAACATGCAGACTTGAACTCCCGTGGTGGCAGTGGGGCTGGAGAATATTGTATGGATTTGAGATCCATTTGGAAGGGAGAATTGATGAGACTGACTGAGGGAAGGGAGTAGGAGGGCCAAGGATGACCCCCAGGTTTTCAGCGTGACCAGCTGGATTCAGGACACACCACTTCCTGGTATGCCAGAACCTGGGAGACAATCAGGTTTGGGCGGGGGCCGGAGATGGAGAGACCACTTTTGGATATATTAAAATTGAACTGCTTTTGGGTTATTCAGATAGAGATGTCAAGGAGACAGTACTATGTACAGTTCTGGAGTTTTTGGCTGGTGACATAAATTTAGGAATTGGTATAAGGAAAATAATTAAATGCATAGAAATGGATCAGATCACCTTTAGAGAGAATTTCTAATGAGAGGACAAGAGGGCCCAGGACCAGGCCTCAAGAAATTCCATTATTAAGAGGTCTGGTAGTGAGGAGGAGCTGATTGAGGAGGCTGAAAAGGAGAGGACAGAGATGCAAGGGGACCGGCTGGTGTCACAGGACTTAGCACGATAGAGGACATGAGAAATCCCATGAGGTATTTTGAGACCTTGCCAGACTCCTTCTGCTAAGGTGCCTTCTGCAAAGAAACTGCCTTTCCCTGGAATTTGGGGAGAAGTCTAAGCTGACTATGCATTTCTGCTTTTTGGGATTTGCTCTAAGATCTTTGGCCTTGGGCCCCACAGAATGAGTCCATGTGTTGGCTTAGGGTCAGTAGAGCAGCTTCCAGTAGAATGGCTTCTCCCTGGGACTTGGGTGCCCTGCAGTTTGAGTGAGGTGTCACTAGCCAAGGAAGGGTGTGTTTTGAGGGCTGGCCTCTAGTGTCTGTCCTTCTCATTTATTCCCACTTGGAGGTTTGCTCTGAGGGTTCTGAGAGAGGTCAATGGGAAGAGTGGGATTTTTTAGGGCATTTGATGGGCCCTCAGGGTTATCACTGAAACCATAAGAACCTGTTGCACTGTTAATTTGTTCATCCATGCATCCATTCGTTTGACTTTGTACTAGGCTCTGGGGTAATTGCCAGAGACTTAGAAGCATCAAACATGGCCCTTGTCCTTGAGAAGCTCCCAGTCTAGTGAAAGAGTAGACAAACTTTAGAGTGATCAGGAGGGCACACACAGCAATGGGATGCCTGTGCCAGCTTTCCAGGTTGGGCAAGCAAAAAAGTGATCAGTTGTGCTAGGAGGAACAAGATTGGCTTCCCAATGGAGGAGGTTGTGGGAAATTTCTAGGTGGATGAGATTGGTGGAGAGAAAGGAAGGCATTTCAGACTGAAGAAACACATGGGCAGAGTGATACAGTGTATGGTTCCTTGGTGTCTTGTGTTCCTGTAAGTGGTGTGTCATGGCTGCAGCACAGAATGGGGCAGTGGCAAGGCGAGAGTTAGGCTTGAAGTAAGCCTTGAATCCCAGGCCAAGGCGCTTGGGCTTTATCTTGAGGCTGATGGGCCTATAGGTCATCTTTACCTGGGGAGTGGGCTGATCCAATCTGCATTTTAAAAAGATTTCCTGGTGCTATAAGGAGATGTGATGGGCAGCCAGGCCGAAAGGGAGGGATGCCAGTTCCAAAGTTTGGAGGAGAAATGGGGAGTGGGGTCCAGACATTGGTACAGCTGCCTCGATGGCCCATGAGGCGCTGGGGTTCTGCGCACACTGAGGGTTGGATGTCTTAACTCTTGTTGCTAGGGGAGGTGGCCTGACTCAGGGCCTGGTGGGCGCTATGTTCCAGGTGGATACGCACATCCACGCCGCCGCCTGCATGAACCAAAAGCATCTGCTGCGCTTCATCAAGCACACCTACCAGACAGAGCCCGACAGGACTGTGGCCGAGAAGCGGGGCCATAAGATCACCCTGCGGCAGGTGTTTGACAGCCTGCACATGGACCCCTACGACCTCACTGTGGACTCGCTGGACGTCCACGCGGTGAGTGAGCTTTTGCTCCAGTGCCACCAGCAGAAAGCAGCCCTGGCTGGGGACTCAGCCCCCTGGAAAGCCACCATGATTGTGCTTGTGGGGAGGCATGACGGAAGCAGCTTTTTCTCTCCTAGCCGACTGAGAGGTCATGTGGCCTCAGAGAATAACAGGTCTTGCGTAGCCATGGGACAGGAGAAGAGAGTGTATAGCTTGGGGCTGGACAGGTCTAAGCACTATTTCCACTCCTGCCACTTAGGAGTTTTGTGCCTTCAGGCAACTCACGGAAGCTTTTATTTCCTTGCCCATAAAATGTTGACAGCCACGTGCCTTATTAACTTTAAAAAATTATTAAAACACTAAATGATTGTGTAACTGCTATGGAAAACAGTATAGTACTTTCTAAAAAAAGTTAAGTATAGAATTACCTATGCCTCAGCAATTCACTTCTAGGTATATACCTCAAAGAACTGAAAGCAGGAACTTGAACAGATACTCATATACCAATGTTCATAGCATTATTATTCACAGCGGCCAAAAGGTAGAAACAACCCTATGTTCATCAGTAGATGAATGGGTAAACAAAATGTGGTATATCCATACAATGGAATATTATTCAGCCATGAAAGGAATAAACTACTGATACATGCAACAACCACAAATGAAGTTTTCAAAAGATTATACCAAATCAAAGAAGCCAGACACAAAAGGACATATACTATATGATTCCACTGATATAAGGTACCTAGAATAGACACATTCATAAGGAGGATAGAAGCTACCAGGGCCTGTAGAGAGGAAGGCATGGGGAATTAGTGTCTAATGGGTATAGAGTTTGTTTGGGATTATAAAAAAGTTCTGGAAATGGTTAGTGGTCATGGTTACACAGCAATGTGAATATACTTAATGCCACTGAAAGTGTACAGTTAAAAACGGTTGAAATAGTAAATGTTATGCATGATTAGAACAACAACAAAAAAACCTTTGTTAATCAAAACACTGAATGATATAATGTGGAGAAAGTGCTTTGCAAAATGCGAGTCGTGATGGGGAATGCTCTGTTATTCAGTGGTCCAGCCTCTGCTCACTAAGCCAGCCATGTGCCGAGACTTGCTGTGGTACCTTGCAGATGGGACCCCTGCTGTTCCTTCACAGGGGGCCTCACCAAAGGATCCCAAACTAAGTGAGGATCCATGGTCCTGGCTCTCAGGAGTTTCTGAGGTTTCACGCAAGAATTGACATAGAAGTTGTCTTTTGGTGTGGCCATACAGAAGGCTGCCTTGTAAAGGTCTAGAGAGGGGAATGTGTGTGGTGGCTGAAGAATGATGCGTCGATTGTGTGGTCTCCTCCCCAGGGCCGGCAGACATTCCACCGCTTTGACAAGTTCAACTCCAAATACAACCCCGTGGGAGCCAGTGAGCTGCGTGACCTCTATTTGAAAACTGAAAACTATCTGGGAGGAGAATACTTTGCTCGGATGGTAAAGGTGAGTGAGCTCTCAGTCTCACTAAGGCCTCTCAGATGCCTGCCAGCATCTGCCTTCAGAGGGTGGGGCTCTGTGTGTCCCTGGCCCCTTCCCCTCCCTCTGTCCACCATCAGCTCAGGCAAGGGTGAGGTGCCCAGGTGCCCAGTGCTGTGGCCTGGCTGCAGGAAGAGGAGGGAAGCATATCAACCTTGTCTGAGCTCACAGCATCTGGCCTGGCTTTCCTGTCTCCGCAGCCTGAACCTGGCTGGGTGCAGATGAGCTCCGCGTGGACATGTTTCTGCTGTGGCCTGATTCTGCAGAAGACCTTCCTCCCCAGAGGGAGCCTCTGCTGAAGTGGAACAAGAGTTTATAGGAGCAGGCAGCCCTGGGGATTTAGATCAGTGCTTCCAGCCTCAGAGCAAGGTGGCTAGGGGAGACATAGGACCCTGCTGATGACGAGAGTGAGGGTCTTCCATGTAGCTGGGATGCTCTGGGTTTGACCCAAGCTTTTCTTGTGCCAGGAGGTTGCCCGGGAACTGGAGGAGAGCAAGTACCAGTACTCAGAGCCACGGCTCTCCATCTACGGCCGCAGTCCTGAGGAATGGCCCAACCTGGCCCACTGGTTCATCCAGCACAAGGTCTACTCCCCCAACATGCGCTGGATCATCCAGGTGCCCCGGATCTAGTAAGTGAGGTGGCCCTGATGTCTGCCCTGTGCCCTCCAGAGGTGACAGTCTGTCCCACATGGGCTGCTAAGTCTGCACTGCTGAGGGATGGGACCTGATCTGGTACCAGCTTCGGCTTGTCCTCTCCAGGGATTTTTCCATAGAAGGAGTGCTTAGCAAAGATGTCCACATGACACTAGAACTCTTAATCTTTGAAAAATATAGATGTTCAAAGTCCTTAGGGGATCTACCACCCCTGCCTTCTTCTCCTTGTGGGTTGAGGATGGATTGTCTTTTTGGTGAGCCCCGGAGTATGAGAAGAGCTGGTAGTGGTCTACATTGCTGGCCCTCTCCCTAGATGTCTCTCAGATGGCTGCTGTCCTCTCCAGGTGGCTGGCCAGGGTGGGGCCCATGCCTCTAGGATGGCTAGCGTATGTGGTTTAGAGAAACAGAGCTGAGTAACAGAGTGTTTGGGTCACTGGGAATTTGAGGCCTCATAGCTCAGACTCTTGGTGAGTCAGAATGCCACCATCCCCCTCCCAGTGGCTTCTGGCTTGAGAAAGTGTTCTGTTGGGCACAGGTAGGTATGGAGCTTGCAAAGCAAGGCCAAGTATTTCAGACATTGTTGGGGGAGGAGGAGACAGGAGGAATCTGTATTCAGGCCACACCTGACTTGACTCTGGGTGTTTAATGGGGACACAAGGCAGCCTGAGGAAGTGACTGGGGCTGGTCTCTGACAGGGCAGGGGGCTGTTGGGTCCACCTGATACTTGAGTCTTTGCTATCTCCCAGTGACATATTTAGGTCAAAGAAGCTGCTGCCAAACTTTGGGAAGATGCTGGAGAACATCTTCCTGCCCCTTTTCAAGGCCACGATCAACCCCCAAGATCATCGAGAGCTTCACCTCTTTCTTAAATATGTAAGTGTGGGTGGTGACCCAGGCAGGGCTCATAGTGGCAGAGGTGGGAATGGACTCGCTGTGTGCTGAGTTAGGTTGGCTCCTGCCCTTCACTGTGGTATCTCAGGTCCTGCCACCTGTGTTCCAGGTATGGGGTCGCCAGCCCCAAGAAGCTGGATCTCTAAAAAGTCACCTTCTCCTCAGGGCCAGCTCTGGGACTCAGTGGGTGGGGATGGTGTTGGTTGAAAACTGAAAACTATCTGGGAGGAGAGTACTTTCGGATGGTCAAGGCGAGTGAGCCCTCAGTCTTGCTAAGGCCTCTCAGATGCCTGCCAGCATCTGCCTTCAGAGGGTGGGGGCCCTGTGTGCCCCTGGTCAGGGGGCAGGCCTTGCCCTCAGCGGGGAAGGCAGCAGTGGGCAAAGACTGGGAACTCAGTTCCTGCCAGGTGGGGCCCGAAAGGCCAGATCTAGCCCCCAGCAGCACCAAGCAGCAGCCTTAGGTCTTGTTTAGAAATGCAGACACTTCAATTCACCTGCTTACCTAACAACAAAGGTCCTCACACTATGTGTGATTAATTACAAGCCTCCAGGACGTATTTCCCTTCCAGATTCAGTGTGTTGTAGGAGGAGAAGAGCAGTCCAGGAGAGACTTAACCAGGAAGGGAGGAGGAGGGGGTGGGAGCCAATCTCTTCCTCTGGATGGCTAGAATTGAGGGTTAGCAGATGGTGATACAGGCCAGTGCCCAGTGGAGGTGATGGATGACTTTCTACAGGGAGAGGCACAGAGGGGAGCCTGAGGCTGGGACATGGGGAGGGAGTGATTGAGTCTGTATGCCCAAAATGTGATTGGACAAGCTGAGGGACATCATTGAATTTATACTTTATACAAACATATTCTGGCTGTTGTGTGGAGATGGCCCAGAAGAGAAGGTAGCTGGAAGTGGAGTCCTGGCTGTGCAGGAGCGTGGATGGTGCACTGTTCGAAGGTTGCTGCCAGCAATGGAGGAAGAGTAGGTGTGAGGAGGAGGAGCAGGAGGAGGAGACAACGTATTTTGCACCCGAGGCTGTGGGAGATGCAGTGGTGAGGCTCTGCTTTAGCTGGATAGAGCTCTGGAGAGAGGCTGAAATTATCCCCATACAAGGCCTCAGAAAGTTCAGGTGAAGTATGGGGCTAGTGAGCCCAGAGCAGAGCTCAAGGTCTACCCTGGTCCCCTGAACCCCTCGGCGTGCTTAGGGTCATAGCAAGGACTCTGTCATTTCCTTTGACACACAGGGCTCTGTGACAGGGAAGATTCTGGCCAACACCCTCATGCTACCTTGCTCCTCTGGGCCCCTGCTGCCCCTGTAGGAACAAGAGAGACCGGCACTCTTGTTCGGTGTAAGAAGCTGTAACTCGCCTTACAGCTACTACCTCTACTACATGTATGCCAACATCATGGTACTCAACAACCTCCGCAGGTGCGTGCGGCCTGCCCTTGCACACGCTTGGGTTCATGTGTTAGTACGTGCACCCATGCACACACACGCACACACACTCGCTGGGGCCTGGGGCCTGGGCTGGTATCCCCCCCGTTTGGGCCAGTTGTGGATTAAGGGGGACAGTCTCTTTCTCCCATCTGATATTTAGAGGCCCCTTTGCAAAGCACTGCCATGGCTGGGCAGATGGAGAGAGGCCTGGTAACAAGCCTCCCCTATGCGCCGAGAGCCCGTGCCCTCCATGCATGTGTTCTTGGTTGGGGATGACCTCTGGCATCAGCCGGAAGGCTCTGGTGACTCTGGAGGGCTCCCCAGGGGTCCCAGCAGAGGTAGAACTGCAGTGGAAGGGTGGGAGTTTCCTGAAGCTACTCGAGCCCATGTCAGAGGGTAGCTCCCAGTGGGGACTGGAGAGCAGAGCTAGCTGCCTCCCAGGAGCCATGGGTCAGCCCAGCAAGGACCCTCTTCTCTGTCTGTGAGGCATCTGGCTGGATTCTCCTGTCCACACCTGGGCATACCCTAGGGTATCCTCCACCTACAGTCCCAAAGAGTGCATATTCAGTGCTCAGAACCTCGTTTCTTTTTTTTTTTTTTTTTTTGAGATGGAGTCTTGCTCTGTCACCCAGTCTAGAGTGCAGTGGTGCCATCTCAGCTCACTGCAACCTCTGCCTCCAGGGGTCAAGCGATTCTCCTGCCTCAGCCTGCCGAGTAACTGGGACTACAGGCACACACCACCATGCCCAGTTAATTTTTGTATTTTTGTATTTTTTTTTTTTTTTTTTTTTTGGAGAGATGGGGTTTCACCATGTTGGTCAGGCTGGCCTCGAATTCCTGAACTTGTCATCCACCCACCTCAGACTTCCAGAGTGCTGGGATTACAGGCATGAGCCACTGCACCCGGCTGAGCCTGATTTCTTGAGCAACTTCCGTTAATTGCTTTGGCCCTGGTTTGCTCAACCGTGAAATGGGGCTCCACAGCCAACCGGTCCCTCCTGGGTTGCTCTGAGTTATGAATTAACTGATGTGCATGAAGTGCTTTGAGCAGGGCCTGACACGTGCTGTGTAGTAGGACCCTTTCCCTTCATAGCTTGTTGCTGCTGCTGATGGCAGTGGCCGCTGCTCCCTGCAGGCTGGCCTTGGTGCAGCAGAGGGGCGGGTGGTGGGCATGGCTGCCTCACCCTTCACCTGTCCTGGCAGTTTCCCCCGCTGTCGCCACCTCCACATAAGGGCTTGGCACTCTCGTGTCTCCCCTCCAGAGTACCTTTGGAAGCCCAAAGGGGCAGACTTTGGTGACGTACCCACTCCTCATCCCTGAGAGGAATGTGGCCTCAGGCAGGCTATGGGATCCCTAGCTGAGGTGTGAACCTGAGGGCCCCAGACCCCTTGGCCTCTGGCAGCTGTGAGCCCCAGGAGGCTGAGCCAGGTCTGATCCTGGTCCTGCCTCGGCTTGGTGCTCAGGACCTTTCCTCCTGCCCAGGTGACGGGGTTTGACAGCGTGGATGATGAGTCCAAGCATAGTGACCATATGTTTTCCGACAAGAGCCCCAGCCCAGACGTCTGGACCAGTGAGCAGAACCCGCCTTACAGCTACTACCTGTACTACATGTATGCCAACATCATGGTGCTGAACAACCTCCGCAGGTGCGTGCGGCCTGCCCTTGCACACGCTTGGGTTCATGTGTTAGTACATGCACACATGCACACACATGTACACATGCATGTCGCCCGTGTCCATATGAACCAACACGCATGTCCATGTGCTCACATACATCAAAATCCACACTTTCCAGCATGCTATATGAGGCATGTCTCCAGATGATCACATACATGCAGACATGCCCACCATAACACACGCCAGTACAGATATACATTGTGTACAGTATGCAATGCAGCCACAGCCCACGTGTCCACATGTTTACATGTACACACACTCACCAGTGCACATTCCAGGTACATTCTGTACCTCCCTGAGATAACAGAAGCATAGGACATGCCATTACACACATGCATTCACTTGCCGCACCAGCAATGTCCACATGTGCACGTTCACTTAACACCGCACGACAATGTCCACACGTGTATATTTTCATTCAACAAATTACTGCATCTGCTATGTGACAGGCACTGTCCTGGGCACTGGATAAATAACAGGGAACAAAAAGACTGAATCCATACATGCCTTTACAGGCGAAGGTCTTACAGGCAGAGGTTCCTACCAATATGCACACAGACAAGAGCCAGGAGTTGGCTGCCCAGGACAGTAGGACACTGAGCCATTCCCTTCCCTACAAGTCTTGCATCCCACCTGCCCGCCCCTGCTGGGCCCTCGGGCCTCACTAGCTCAGCCTAAACCGGTGCTAGTTGGTGGGTGTGGAGGTTTAGAATGTGGCCCTGATCGAAATAAATGGCCTGGTTGGGTGGAGGCAGTCCTGGACTGAGTTTTTGGAGATGGGAGCTCTGGTTCTGGCTTTGCCAAAGACCTGCATGGAACATAGACTTCTCTCTGGGCCTTGGTTTGACCCTTTTCATAACAGAGAGGTCAGACTCCGGTTTCTCATGGCCTTCCCTGCTCTGGAGTTCTATGAATGCAGGACACAAGGCTGGTAGAGGAATACAGGAGAGTGGCTGGAGGGCACAGCAGGTTCTCTTTCTACTTCGAGGCCCACTCTCTACCCCTAGAGATGATGCTTCTTGGTTCTAAGGGGCTCTGGAACCTGGGCCTCTGCATTTTAGGAGGGGTAGTTTCCAGGGTGCACTGGGTTAGCACAGTTGACCATGGGTGGTTATTCCCCCTGGAGCTGCCCGTGAGCTGAGGCTGCAGGCCCCAGGCAGAGCCAACCAGGGGGTCCTTCCTGATCCGGGGCTCTCTTCTCTTACAGGGAGCGCGGCCTGAGCACGTTCCTGTTCCGGCCGCACTGTGGGGAGGCCGGCTCCATCACCCACCTGGTGTCTGCCTTCCTCACTGCTGACAACATTTCCCACGGGCTGCTCCTCAAGAAGGTAACCAGGCCACTCTCGGGAGCCTGCCCTGCAGCAACTGCCCTGCTCTGTGCTCCTGGGAGGCTTGGCCAGTGAGGCCAGAAAGCTGGGCCCTCTTCTGGGATGGGATATCTGTCGTGATCTTGGTTTCATTTTAAATTATGAAAGTAATATAATCAAACTCATCACAATTTCAATTTTCCAAAAACTGGAGAAATGAAAAAAAAGCCAGCCCTTATTGCTGTTATGTTAATAGAAATAGCCATTATTAGCTTTTTAGTATATCCAATTTCTGTATTTTATCCAGAGTATATTTTAATGTGTTTATTATCATAATGAACACAGAAGTTGGCTGCTTTGTCCCTGTTGTATGATAAGCATTTTTTGATGCTGCAACATAATGTCTATGCTCTTCCTTCCAAAGGCTGTTGTTGGATGAAGGGTCTGCCACTTAGTAATTGACTCAACAAGTCCACACTAGTTGAACACAAGAGTCCATCCACCTTTTCAATGATGTACCTTTGAGCTCTGTGCATGTAGTCTTCTTCATATTTTGGATCACTTTCCACTGGCACGATGTTTAATCAAAATGCTCCCTTTCCCTCGTCCCGGCAAGGTGTAACCATGGGTCACATTTTTTGGTGGGGTGGGTGCTACAGTAGAAAACCACTCTATTCTGGGCAAGTCCACCCTTTAGGTCCCTTCAGGGCTCATCTCCCAGGAGCTGGAGTGTTCAAGTGTTCAGTCTCAACCTAGCTGTTTGCAGTCAAAGCAACAAAACAATTGAAGTGGGGCATCTTCTAGACTGGGTCCATGCCTAGGGGAAAGGAGCTGAAGGTGAAGGCTGAGGTGGGCTGCCCTTCCTGCTCTGAGCCTTGCCTCCGGTTTGGAGCAAGAGTGGGTGCTTCCAACAGTGGGTAGAGGCACCAGGGAGATGCCTGGCATGCAATGTAGAAATGAGATGAGCAGTGGGGAAGGGGAATGTGTGTCTGGGTGTTCTGGCTTCCAGGAACTCAGGTTGAGGACTTGGGCAGACACTGTTCAGATCCCTGGTTTCCACTGGTGAATGCTGCTTCCCTCCTTTTCTCCCTTCCCTTTTCCCTTCTCCTCTCTCTGGCACTTGTCACATGAGTTTGGTGGTTCTTTTGCAGAGTCCAGTATTGCAGTATCTCTACTACCTTGCTCAGATCCCCATTGCCATGTCTCCTCTTAGCAACAACAGTTTGTTTCTCGAATATTCCAAGAACCCTCTGAGGGAATTCCTGCACAAGGGACTGCACGTTTCTCTTTCCACCGATGACCCCATGCAGTTCCACTACACGAAGGTGAGGACTTTGGGGTGAGGACGTAGTGCCTCAGTAGGGATCAGTCCTAGCCTGTCCTCCCATTTCAGGGACTTAAGCCCATGGCTCAGTTCTGCTTTTGGGGTGGGGCTGGTGGCCCAGTGAAGACAGAAGGGAAGTCACTGGTGGGAGAAAATTGTGCCTTCCAAGAACCCTCTCTTTGGGGTTCTTGAACCCTCAAAGGCACAATTTAATATCAGTATCTTTGCCTTCCTTTATTTTCCCTTTCTTTGACATTTATGAGCTCTGTGATGTTGGTAAAGTTATTAGCTCTCTGGATCAAGTTCCTCTTCATCTGTAAAATGGAGATTAAATTGTCTCTACCCCTACCTTGTGAGGATTCATGAAGATAATGAATCAAAGGGTCTAGTGTAGTGTCTGCATATATTCAAAATATTTCTAAATACCTTTTAAAGCAATGCCATTAAATTTCTACATGTTGGGTCTCTGGGAAAAGAAGAGGAAGGGAAAGGTGGTGTCATGCATGGGGGCCAGCTGCAAGCGTACCCAGCATGTTTCGACGGTGTTGACGAGACTAGCCATTGCTTACCACAAACAGAAGCACCGGAGTCTTTTAGGACAGAGGTTCTCCAACTTCTTGGTCTCTGGACCGCTTTATACTCTTAAAAACTTATGTTTTCCAAGACCTGTTGTTTATGTGGGTTATACCTACTGATATTTAACATGTTAGAAATGAATAAGAAATTTAAAATATTTATTATTTAAAAACTGTATCAATAAACCAATTAAATGTTACATAATAATTTTTTTCTTCCTGAAAATAACAGTACCCCCTGCCTTTGTTTTGCATTTTTAAGCCTCTTTAATGTCTTAATGGAAGTCAGCAGGACTCTCCTAGCCACTTCTGCATTTGACTTTTTAGTCAAAATATATAAAAATAGAAAATCTTGCTTCATGGAAATACATAATTGGAAAAGAGAAGATCTTTCAAAAGGTTTTAGGACCTTCAGTGGTCCTTGACCTGTACTTTGAGAACCACTGCTCTAGGCTACAGCAGCAGTCGGGTGGGGGAAGAGGTCATAGAGGACTCATGAATAGACACTTCACATCCCAGAAGGGAAGCAAAACCACAGCTCAAACTCAGATCCTTCTGCGAGTACACAATTTTACCACCTATCCTATGATCACTTATTTTTCTTTTTTTGATGTTCTGTCTCTGCTTTTAGTATTTTATTCATATATGTATATATGTATAATACACACACATAAGGCAAACTTAAGAAATTAGTGTGTTAAAAAAAGCTAGAGATCAGTGCTAAAAGTGGCATGACTAGAGGGCTTGTCACGGGAGAGCAGAGACAGGCATCCCTGATGACTGGTACAGGGCTTCAACATGAGCTCAGTACTGGTCAATGAATACATTTGGAGATGTGATTTTAGATCTTTGATAACCCATGATTTCACAGAAGATCTTGGGCATTGAAGGTGTGACATTTGATGATCCAGGTGCCATTTAGTGAGGAAAAGTTAAACCTGCAGTGTCTGATGTTATCTTTGGACATATGTGAAGGGTTGATTTGGATATTCTCCTGTCTAATCCACATGCTTTGGGGGAGGGTCTAGGAAGCACTTATGGAAGAATATGCCATTGCAGCTCAAGTGTGGAAGCTGAGCACATGCGACCTGTGTGAGATCGCCAGGAACAGCGTGCTGCAGAGCGGCCTCTCGCATCAGGTATGCAGTGTGATGGTGCCACCTGTGTCCCTCCTGGGAAGGCTGCCTGCTGTGTGCCAGGCACCTTCCAAGCACTGGGGATCTGTGACAACACAGCAGGCAGGGCCTCTGACACTCAGGCATGGGGAGAGAAAATGCCTCCTGCGTTTCCATGGCTGCTTCCTCACCCTTTTCAGACCTCTACGGCTCCTCGTAAGGCCTTCCCTCATCGCCCTTTCTAAAATAGCCACACACTTGCTATTATTCTCTGTCCCCTTAATCTGTTTTTCTCCGTAACATTTATTCCTGCTAATATTTAGTTATGTGTTTTTCTGTCTTTCCTTCTAGAATATAAGCTCTGTGAGGGGAGAGGCTTGTTCAGAATTATATCCCTGGGCCCTAGATAGTCCCTGGCACAGAGCAGGAGCTCAGTATTTCTTGAATAGATGGGAACAGTATCTAGACTGAATAAAAACCTAGACACTGGGACCGAGACGTGTCATTTTTTTAAAAGCCCTGAATTCTGAGGTGGCAGTAGCACTGAGACCCATGTTCTGATGTATCTTAGGTCTGCCGACACTTCCCTGGGTGATGTCACTGGTTGGGGAGAGGTTGCATTAGGGGCTTCCCTTGTTGGATGATGATGCAGCAGTTAAAGGCTTAAGATTCTTTTTTTTTTTTTTTCCTTTACACTTTTAAAATTTATTTTACTTTAGGTTCTGGGGTACATGTGTGGGTCATGCAGGGTTGTTAGATAGGTGCATACTATATCCGGCATTTCTCCCCATGTTATCCCTCCCCACCCCCTGCTGTCCCTCCCCTAGCCTCCCCCACCCAACTGCCCCCAGTGTGTGATGCTCCTCTCCCTGAGTCCATGTGTTCTCATTGTTCAACACGGCCTATGAGTGAGAACATATGGTGTTTGGTTTTCTGTTATTGTGTCAGTTTGCTGAGAATGATGATTTCCAGATTCATCAAAATCCCTTAAAAGGACACAAACTCGTTTTTTATGGCAGTTAGGTATTCCATGGTATATATGTGCCACATTTGCTCTGTCCAGTCTATCATTGATGGGCATTTGGGTTGGTTCCAGGTCTTTGCTATTGTACACAGGGCGGCGATGAACATACATGTGCATATGTCTTTATAGTAGAATGATTTATAGTTCTTTGGGTATGTACCTAGTAATGGTATTGCTGGGTCAAACGGAATTTCTATTTCTAGATCCTTGAGAAATCGCCACACTGTCTTCTACAATGGTTGAACTAACTTACATTCCCACCAACTGTTTAAGAGTGTTCCTATTTCTCCACATTCTCTCCAGCATGTTGTCTCCAGATTTTTTTAATGATCACCATTCTAATTGGCCTGAGATGGTATCTCGATGTGATTTTGATTTGCATTTCTCTAATGACCAGTGATGATGAGCATTTTTTCATATGTTTGTTGGCCTCATATATGTCTTCTTTTGAAAAGTGTCTGTTCATATCCTTTTGCTCACTTTTGAATGGGGTTGTTTGTTTTTTTTCTTGTGTATCTGTTTTAGTTCTTTGCAGATTCTGGATATCAGCCCTTTGTCACATGGGTAGACTGCAAAATTTTTTTCCCATTCTGTTGGCTGCCGGTTTGCTCTAATGATGGTTTCTTTTGCTGTGCAGAAGCTCTGGAGTTTAATTAGATCCCATTTGTCTATCTTGGCTTTTGTTGCCATTGCTTTTGATGTTTTAGCCATGAAGTCCTTGCCTATGCCTATGTCCTGGATGGTTTTGCCTATGTTTTCTTTTAGTGTTTTTATGATGTTAGGTTTTATGTTTAAATCTTTAATCCATCTGGAGTTAATTTTAGTGTAAGGTGACAGGAAGGGGTCCAGTTTCTGCTTTCTACACATTGCTAGCCAGTTTTCCCAGCACCATTTATTAAACATGGAGTCCTTTCCCCCATTGTTTTTTGTCAGGTTTGTCAAAGATCAGATGCTTGTAGATGTGTGGTGTTGCTTCTGAGGCCTCTGTTCTGTTCCATTGGTCTGTGTCTCTGTTTTGGTACCAGTACCATGCTGTTTTGATTACTGTAGCCTTGTAGTATAGTTTGAAGTCCAGCAGTGTGATGCTTCTTGCTTTGTTCTTTTTGCTTAGGATTGTCTTGGCTATACAGGCTCTCTTGTGATTCCATATGAAGTTTAAAGTGGTTTTTTTTTTTTCCAGTTCTGTGAAGGTCATGGGTAGCTTGATGGGGATGGCATTAAATCTATAAATTACTTTGGGCAGTATGGCCATTTTCATGATATTGATTCTTCCTAACCATAAGCATGGAATGTTTTTCCATCTGTTTGTGTCCTCTCTTATTTCATTGAACAGTGGTCTGTAGTTCTCTTTGAAGAGGTCCTTTAAATCCTTTGTTAGTTGTATTCCTAGGTATTTTATTCTCTTTCTAGCAATTGTGAATGGGAGTTCGCTCTTGATTTGGCTGTTTGTCTGTTACTGGTATATAAGGAATGCTTGTGATTCTGCACATTGATTTTGTATCCTGAGACTTTGCTGGAGTTGCTTATCAGTTTGAGAAGATTTTGGGCTGAGACGACGGGGTCTTCTAAATACACAATCATGTTGTCTGCAAATAGAGACTGTTTGACTTCCTCCTTTCCTAATTGAATACCCTTTATTTCTTTTTCTTGCCTGATTGCTCTGGCTAGAACTTCCCATACTATATTGAATAGGAGTGATGAGAGAGGGCATCCTTGTCTAGTGCCTGATTTCAAAGGGAATTCTTCCAGCTTTTGCCTGTTGAGTACAATATTGGCTGTAGGTTTGTCATAAATAGCTTTTATCATTTTATGATATGTTCCATTGATACCTAGTTTATTGAGTTTTTAGCATGAAGGGCTGTTGAATTTTGTCGAAGACCTTCTCTGCATCTATTGAGATAATCATGTGGTTTTTGCCTTTGGTTCTGTTTATGAGATGGATTATGTTTATGGACTTGTGTGTGTTGAACCAGCCTTGCTTCCCTGGGATGAACCCTACTTGATTGTGATGAATAAGCTTTTTGATGTGCTGTTGCATTTGGTTTGCCAGTATTTTATTGAAGAGTTTTGTGTCGATGTTCATCATGGATATAGGCCTGAAGTTTTCTTTTTTAGTTGAGTCTCTGCCTGGTTTTGGTATCAGGACAATGTTGGTCTCATAAAATGAGTTAGGGAAGATTCCCTCTTTCTATATTGTTTGATATAGTTTCAGAAGGAATGGAACCAGCTCCTCTTTGTACGTCTGGTAGAATTAGGCTGTGAACCCATTTGGACCTAGACTTTTTTTGGTTGGTAGGCTATTTATTGCTGCCTCAACTTCAGTCCTTGTTATTGGTCTCATCAGGGTTTCGACTTCCTCCTGATTTAGTCTTGGTAGAGTACAAGTGTCCAGGAATTTATTCATTTCTTTCTGGTTTACTGGTTTATGTGCATAGAGCTGTTTGTAGTAATCTCTGATGGTAGTTTGTATTTCTTTGGGATCAGTGGTGATATCCCCTTTATCTTTTTTTTTTTATTGCATCTATTTGATTCTTCTCTCTTTTCTTTTTTATTAGTCTGGCTAGCAGTCTATTTTGTTGATCTTTTCAAAAAACCAGCTCCTGGATTTATTGATTTTTTTGAAGGTTTTTTTTTGTGTCTCTGTCTCCTTCAGTTCAGCTCTGATCTTAGTTATTTCTTGTCTTCTGCTAGCTTTTGAGTTTTTTTGATCTTCCTCCTCTAGCTCTTTCAATTTTGATGATAGGGTGTCAATTTTAGATCTTTCTTTGTTTCTCATGTGGGCATTTACTGCTATACATTTCCCCCTTGACATTGCTTTAAAGGTGTCCCAGAGATTCTGGTAAGTTGTGTCTTCATTCTGATTGGTTTCAAAGAACACCTTTATTTCTGCCTTCATTTCATTGTTTATCCAGTTGACACTCAGAAGCAAGTTGTTCAGTTTCCAAGTGGTTGTGTGGATTTGAGTGTGCTTCTTAATCTTGAGTTCTAATCTGACTGCGCTGTGGTCTGATAGACTTTTTGTTATGATTTCTGTTCTTTTGCATTTGCTGAGGAGTGATTTGCTTCCAATTATGTGGTCAAGTTTAGAGTAAGTGCGATGTGATGCTGAGAAAAATGGATATTCTGTGGATTTGGGATGGAGCGTTCTGTATATGTCTATTAGGTCTTCTTGGTCTAGCTCTGCATTCAAGTCCTGGATGTCCTTGTTAATTTTCTGCCTCGTTGATCTGTCTAGTATTGATAGTGGAGTGTTGAAGTCACCCACTATTATTGTGTGGGAGTCTAAATCTTGTTTTAGGTTAAGAACTTGCTTTATACATCTGGGTGCTCCTGTGTTGGGTTTGTATTTAGGATAGTTAGCTCTTCTTATTAGATTGATCCTTTTACCATTATGTAATGCCCTTCTTTGTCTCTTTTGATCTTTGTTGGTTTGAAGTCCATTTTATGAGACTAGGATTGTTAACCCCTGCTTTTTTTTTAAATCTCCATTTGCTTGGTAAGTCTTCTTTCATCCCTTTATTTTGAGTCTATGTGTGGCTTTGTATGTGAGATGGGTTTCCTGAATACAGCACACTGATGGGTCTTGACTTTTTACTCAGTTTGCCAGTCTGTGTCTTTTGATTGGGGCGTTTAGGCCATTTACATTCAATGTTAATATTGTTATGTGTGAATTTGATCCTGCCATTTTGTTACTGGATGGTTTTCTTGACCATTAGTTAACTCATTTTTCTTCATTGCATTTTTGGTCTTTTGACATTTGGTGTGCTTTTGCAGTGGCTGGTACTTGTTCCTTTCCATGCTTAGTGTTTCTTTCAGGAGCTCTTGTAGGGCAGGTCTGGTGGTGACAAAATCTCTCAGTAACTGCTTGTCTGTAATGGATTTGGTTTCTCCTTCACTTATGAAGCTCAGACTGGCTGGATATGAGATTCTGAGTTGAAAGTTCTTTTCTTTAAGGATGTTGAATATTGGCCCCCACTCTCTTCTGGCTTGCAGGGTTTCTGCTGAGAGATCCGCTGTGACTCTGATTGGCTTCCCTCATCTTTCTCTCTGGCTGCCCTTAGCATTTTTTCTTCATTTCAACCCTGGTGAATCTGACGATTATTATGTGCCTTTGGGTTGCTCTTCTTGAGGAATATCTTTGTGGAGTTCTCTGTATTTCTTGGATTTGAATGTTGGACAGCCTTGCTAGGCTTGGGAATTTTTCCTGTATAATATCCTGGAGTGTGTTTTCCAGCTTGGGTTCATTCTTCCCGTTATATTCAGGTACAATGATCAAGCGTAGATTAGGTCTTTTCACATAATCCCGTATTTGTTGAAGGCTTTGTTCATTTCTTTTCACTCTTTTTCTTTCGTCTTGCCTTCTCTATTTCATTGAGTTGATCTTCAATCTCTGATATCCTTTCTTCTGCTTGATCAATTTGGCTATTAAAACTCGTGTTTGCTTCACGTAGTTCTTGTGCTGTGTTTTTCAACTCCATCAAGTCGTTTATGTACTTCACTAAGCTGGTTATTCTAGTTAGCATTTCATCTAACCTTTTTTCAAGGTTTTGGTTTCTTTGCATGGAGTTAGAATGTGTTCCTTTAGCTCAGTAAAGTTATTATCCACCTTCTGAAGCCTGTTTCTGTAAATTCATCACATTCTTTCTTGGTCATGTTGTGTTCCTGTGTTGTTGAGGAGCTGTGATCCCTTGAAGAAGAGGTGTTCTGGTCTTTGATGGGTCTCATCTTTTTTGTGCTGTTTTTTTCCCATCTTTGTGGGTTTACCTGGCTGTGATCTCAGGGAGCTGCTTGATGAGGTTGCTTGTCTGTCTGTTGAGGCACTACTGGGTTTCTAGGGACTCCTTCAGGTTACCAGGTAAGCTTCCTGTGTCTTTTTTGTTTACACTGGGAGGTTAGTCCTGCGTGTTCCGCTGACCTGGAGATGCTGCTAGGTGGTCAAGACCACCATCCCACTGCTATGTAGGCTTCCTGTGTTTTTTGTTAAAACATGACACCTAGTCCCACCCCTTTAATGGTGGGTTGTGTCTTTCCTCCACAGGGCTGGATCATTCAGGGTTCAGCTCAGACTGAAGAACTGGCTGTCTAACCAACTACAGTTAGTGCTTCAGCCCTCTGGGGTTTGTCGGGGAGGGTAGGGACCTGCCCAGCAGCACCATCTGTCTTCCCAGTTTCAGCTCCCTCTCTCTCTGGGCAGGGGGAGGGGGCACTAGCTCAGTCCACAGGCTCTGCTGGCCGACTTATGGGCTTATGTGTTTGCTTAGATCTGTGCGCCAATCTGGGACACTATCCTGATTATTCAACTCTGCGCTTCTAATTCCTGGTGCTTGACTGGCAACGATCCCCTGTTCTGTGTATTGCTGAGGCTTTGGAGGAAGTGCTGTATCTGGACCGGAGTGCCAGAGAGGGAGCCTCCGACTCACTGGTCAGTTGCACTGTCTGGGTGAAGCGGCACCCCTCCCCACCTTGGTCTGCCCTCTCTGGGCTTTGCTCAATGTCCAAACAGACCTGTTGAAATGCACCTGGTTCCTTGGAGCCAGATCTCTCGATTTCTGCATCTCTCTTGTTGGGTGTTGTTGTGTGCTGGAGTTGTATCTATTTGGCCATCTGGACTCCCTCCCCAGGCTTAAGATTCTTTTCATGTGCAATATGGTTCCTTGGATTGGCTCTCCCCAGAATCACTGTCCTTGTCAGCTCTCCGGAGGGACTTCTTAATTAAAGTTTACCTCCTTCCCCCTCACCAACAGCTGCTGCAGACCTTATCATCTTTCCTCTCTGATCAAGGAAAGCACAGCCAGGAATGAAGGGTTGTCTGAGGATGACTGAGGTTGTCAGGGTGACATCCTTGAGGACACGGAGGCCAGGAGGAATTTTATGAGTCCTGTGGGGATAAGATGTCCTGACAGAAGATCAGCTTCAGGGAGACTAGTCTGATTTGCTGTGACTGATGTCAAAGCTGCCCATGTGGCTATAGAAAGTAAATCAAAAGTATATTGTTTCATTTGTATTTCTCTTGGTCCACAGGAAAAGCAAAAGTTTCTGGGACAAAATTATTATAAAGAAGGACCTGAAGGAAATGATATTCGAAAGACAAATGTTGCTCAGATCCGGATGGCATTCCGATATGAGACCTTATGCAATGAGCTCAGCTACCTGTCTGATGCCATGAAATCAGAAGAGATTACTGCCTTGACCAAATAGCTCCAGCATTTGACATGCATTTTAACTTTTTGGTATAATTTCAAGTCTGCTGTGGCTAATAGTGGTCAAGATTCCAAACTAGGACTTTCCTCTTTGAAGAGGATGCCTCTGAAGAAATTTCAAACTGATGATTTTGGTTGCACTGCTCACTTTAAGAATTAACATGCTCACTTTTGTTAGTATTTCTGAGTAACAAGATGGCAACTTCTCCTTTGGGGATCTGGGAGCTGGGCACTTGTCTATACTTGTTCCTAATTTTTCAAGTATTTCTCTTGAAACTGCCAGTGCTTGAACTGTTGGGGCCAGGATTTTCCATGGTCAGATGCCAAGTGACATGAGGTCTGTGTGGTTTTCTGCCATACTTTTCTCCATTGGCCCAAGTAGGCTAATTGATGATAGTTGTTCATTCAGCCTCTGGATGGCTGGCTGCCTTAAACACAATCAATTTCAAAGCTCCATTTCATAAACGGGCTACTTTGAGGGAATTAAAATATAAGACTTCCTTCTTGACAATTTGCGTTTTTAGTGAAGTTCTTAAACCGTTTTATTTAGCCCTCCTCCCCGCTTTCTAGTTGGAAGCCAAATGTACTCATTAAAACAGCCACTCCTATTCTGAGTCTTGGTTTCTTAACCCACAAAGTGAGGGTTTGGACTAGATGAGTGGCTTTCAGGGTGTTCTGTGAATCCCCTCATGAATACTTTAGAGTGGGGGAGGAAAGGGAGTGACACTCAGGGGCTGTCAAAGGGACTCTGCATTCATTAGTTTTACACTGCGACTGCTACATAATATTTTCACTTGAATGAAGAACTTCCAAAAGCACAGGACTAGATAGATGATCTCTGTTCCTTTTGGCTCTAATACTCTATGACTGCAGGCCAATTATCACTTCACCAATTAAGAGGTGGGAGAAGTGAAATTTACTTAAGGTTGCACAGCTAATAAGTAATAATAGGCCTACAACTGGGTTTCCTTATTCCAAATCCTGTCCTTTCCCCACTATTCCATTAGACCTCACAAATGTTAGCTGTGTGTGTGTGTTTCATCAATGTAACCTGGTGCATTTTTTTTTAGGGCAAAATTTTCCCCTTACCTACTATGATGACTTTAGAAGATACGATGGTCCCAGGGGCCAAGTAGAAAGCATTTTTAAAGACCAACCTGAATTAAGCTTTACCAATGTACTCTTATTCTGTGTTACTAGTGCCTGATATGTAGCAGGTGCTCAATAAATACATATTGAATAATTAAGTTAATTTCTTTTGGCATCATTTTAAGGACATGTGCTCTTAGTACTCAAGAGGCTGCTCAACTATAGCCTATTTCTGCAGTCAAATTCAGATTACAGGAGGACTTTTTGAATCATTATAGTTAGAAGAACTCTATTTCTGCCTGTGAATTTATTTGACTTTAGATTATCTCGTCTTGTGACTTTATAATGCCTGTCTCCTCCACTGGTGAATTTAGCATATGGAACTATAAATGCAGTATTTTTACTAGGCAAATATATGTGCTATCTTGCAGCTAATTATGAAATTAAATAAAATCCATTGTTATCTTAGGGATTATTTTTGAAAAGCCCCTATTTGTAAACATTTGCCCTAACATACAAAGTACTGTGTAGTTTCTCATTGTCATTTTATCTGTATCAGGTATCTTTTTTTAAATTGTTAAATAAAATCTGTTAGGACTGTGGCTCAAATATTTAAAACTATTTCAAGATAATCATTTAAAGCAAATGTTAAAAGTTTTTTTTACTCTAAGATTGGGCACCATGAAAAGCTATCAATATAACAGCTACTTTATCTTTTACTATGACTCAGACATGAATGACATTCGCTAGGAAAACACAAAATTTTCAAACTGAAGCTCACTAGACCCAGAAGATACATCTTTGCTATCATTTTCTCTAACTTCTACCGTTATAGTTCATGAGCAAAGCTATACATGTTCATTTCCTCTTCCCGGGATATTATTTTAGTCTGTCCAGCTAACACCTATTGGATTTTACCTGTCCTGTAAGCTTTTCAGACATCTTTTCTATAGCACTTTGTGCTTTTATTACATTGTTATACTTAATTGGCCTTTTAGGGGACAAATCCCTACTTTCTTTTGCGTTTGCAATTGGAATAAATGGCAATTAATTGTATATTGGCTCAGATTTCTAAAGGAACAGGTTTTGAGGCATGTTATCCCTTACTTACCCTTAAGGGCTTAAGTTCACTTTACATGTTACTTCAAATTGTGAAACGATGGACATCATTGCTCTTTGCCTCGTGAAAACAAATCACAGCTCCTGGGTTGATATTTATCATGGCCTCTTGGATTAGAAAAGAGCTGAAGGCACATCTCTCTTGCTTTCTCTTCTGAGTGTTGGTGAAACAATATTCTTCATTTCCTGGGTTTGAGACATGACTGAAGGTGATATATCCAAATATTCTATGATTGAACTATGACCATTATAAAGAACAAGTGTAACTAATTCCAATAAAAGGAACACTAACCAGACACACTTACTTTCTTGGAAATTTTAGACTATAAACTGCAAGATTATCAAAACCTACCTCTGCAAAGGCTTTTATGTCTTTTCAGTAAAATGTGACTTTCTCCACAGTATGGTATCAGCAAATTACCAACTGTCATTTATTCTTATGTCTTTGCACTTTTCAGCACTAAGATTCTACAAGGTTTCTCAAATTACATTCTTATATTTTGGAAATGATTTTACAAGGTAAACAAACTACAATAGGGTTGAGTATTTTATTTTTACTGTCTGTTGGGGTAGGGGTCCACAACCCCTGGGCTGTGGACAGTACCATCTGCCACTTGTTAGGGACCTGGCCACACAGCGGGAGTTGAGTGGTGGGCGAGTGAGCATTACAGCGTAAGCTCCACCTCCCATCAGATCAGTGGCAGTATTAAATTCTCAAGGAGCATGAACTCTATTGTGAACTGCACATACAAGGGACCTAGGGTGCATGCAGATTATGAGACTCTAATGCCTGATGATCTGAGGTGGAACAGTTTTATCCTGAAACTATGCCCACACCACCCCAGGTCTGTGGAAAAATGGTCTTCCATGAAAGCAGTCCCTAGTGCCAAAAAGGTTGAGAACCACTGCAGCAGGGTAAAAAGACATAAGAACAAATTAGTCTACTGTCAGCTGCTTATGTTTATATGATACTGTCATTGTGTTGCCCAGCATAAATGTGAGTGACCTGCTGACTTCCCTAATCTCCAAGTAGGGTTTTTCTTTTTTTTCTTTTCTTTTTGTGCCTGAGATGGAGTCTTGCTCTGTCCCCCAGGCTGGAGTGCAGTGGTGCAATTCCAGCTCACTGCAACCCCAGCTCCCTGCAACCTCCACCTCCTGGGTTCAAGAGATTCTCCTGCCTTAGCCTCTGAGTAGCTAGGATTACACGCATGCACCACCACAACAGGCTAATATTTGTATTTTTAGTAGAGATGGGGTTTCACCATGTTGGCCAAGCTGGTCTCGAACTCCTGACCTCATGATCTGCCTGCCTCGGCCTCCCAAAGTGCTGTGATTACAGTCGTGAGCCACTGCATCTGGCCACCTCCAAGTAGTTTTCTTATTCCTGGATAGACAAAGTAAGCTTAAGACAATAACAGTTAAAAATGCAAATTATTCAGACTATCTTTTAATAAACTCAGCTTCCCAATGTTGAAAATCACTGAATCAAAAGATCTTTTCAAGCAGCCTTTCTCCCAGATACGTGTTAGACATAAGGAAATCGAGTCCAATTTTAAATGAATTTTAAAACGGCACACAAACATCACAAACCCCAAGAGCACAATATAAAATAGTCCTCTAAGGAATATAATCATTTGGTATATTAGAATGTGAAATTACATAGAAAAGAATCTCTTCAATTAGCTAAAATTACTTGCGAAAGATTATTTATTGCATAATTTATCAGTGGTCCTAAGAATAACATAGATACTATTATTCTCAACCTCAAAATTCAGTACATAGTCAAATTCATTTTCTCAAACCAAGGTTCTATACGTGATCAGAGTAAATCCTCTATTACTGAGTTAGGATAGGGAAAACTTTATAACTTATAAAACAAATTCCTTAGAGTTCATGAAACCACAAATCCTAGAAGGCACACATTATATTTCCTATTATAGTAAGTACTTTTAAGTACTTCATATTTAAAAAAGACAAAGCTGTACAGAATACAAAAAGTGTACATTTCATCCATCAAACAAATTTACAACTTTTACGATTAGTTATTACAGTAGATCCTACCTAACAGTCACATCTAAAGAATTATCACCCAGTTTAATAGAGCAAACAAACAGCTGTGCTCATTTATTGGATATTTGATAAGGCTAATAATATTTTATATTCACAGTAGATCAGTGTGTGTCTTGGAGCTCATATTGTAAAATAATAAGGTTTGGGCCCTGTTGAGTCACTTGTCTCATTGTTAAATAATTCCTTGAAAGGTGAAGGATTCTCGGTGATAAAATCATTGGCTATTCCTGGAAAGATGCAAAACTCTGTAAGCTAACTTTGTTGACGTTTCAAAAACATTTTAAAATGAGGCAATCTGAATTAAACTCAGCAAGTCTAATCCAAAAGGATAATTTAAAATCTTTGAGCTGGAAAAGATCCCAGTGGATCATCTATCCCAAAGTTTTCAAAATATGTTCCATGGAATACCAGGAATCTATGGAGGAGACACAGGGTTCTGCAAATTTGACTTGAATTAATTTTTGTTTTTTAAAAAAAAACTCCCATTATACAAATGTGTTACTCATTAAATTCAAACATACTGGCTATTACCAATGCATTAATGTGTCTTTATTGGTTGACTTAATCATATTTATAGTATATAAAGTTTATATAATAAGGAAATTTATAATAAAATATGACTTTTATATGGGGGGGTAGGATGTGTGTGTATGCATGTGTGTTAAGATTTTCCTTGGAAAAAGAAAAAAGTTTTTACTGCTGACATAGTGGGAAAACCACAAAGTCTCAGTTTCTAAAGTAGGAACCTACAAACAGTAAGAGACTTTCTCAAGGTCACATAACCACCAAGTGCATTGCCAGGTTGATATGATGGAACCCCGGGTACTCTGCTTGCATAAACCTCCATAGGGAGTAGTTAGCTATTTGGTATTTAACTATCCTATTATGAATGTCAATGGATTTGTCTTCAGCATTTTTTGGGGCAAGATCAAGCCACCTTGGAATTTGAAATTTCAAGCTACCTTGAAATATCAGATGTTTTTCCTTGAAATTGATTTAATTTTATTTGCTTGCCTATTAAAATCCTATTATCCAAAAATTCTGTCATCAATCAGTGGCAACTTAAATTGTGTACCCTGGTTTAGGAAAATAGTAATATTTGCAACTTATGAAGAAGTCAGAAAAGTTACGTGGAATGTTAAATTTTAAAGGAGGCAGGCCCTAATGACGTGCCAAAATGTTAATGTTAGAAATTTAGTTGATAAGCCAAAAAGGTTAAGTTGCGACTGAAGATCACAATTCCATTATTACTATATTCTTTTACACTATTTTAATGGAGAGAATATTTCAATGGAAGTACAGTGAAACAGCAAGAATGCCAAATTATCTTCTAATTTTCAGACATATTTTATGTATATACAGTAAAAAAGCATCACTCTATTTTCTTGTCTTTTTTTTTTTTTTTTTTTTTAATTGCTCTGTCTTCCAGGCTGCCATGCAGTGGCACAATCTTGGCTCATTACAACCTCCACCTCCCAGGTTCAAGTGATTCTCCTGCCTCAGCCTCTCGAGTAGCTGAGATCACAGGTGCTTGCTACCACACTGAGCTAGTTTTTGTATCTTAGTAGAGACAGGGTTTCACCATGTTGGCCAGGCTGGTTTTGAACTACTAACCTCAAGTGATGCACCCGCCTTGGCCTCCCAAAGTGCTCGGAATACAGGTATGAGCCACCATGCTGGCCTCTTGTCTCTTAATCTATGAAATTTGAGGACCCTGAAATCTCAGAAAGATGTTTTCAAGTTAAGGGGGGAAAAAAGCACCATAAACCAATATTAAATGACTTATAATAATTTAGAAATACAAAATTTAGTATTTGTGATGCAGAAAAGTTTCCTTCTGAAACTCCGAGATGTGTGAGCATTATCAAAGCCATTTTGAACAGTTACGCAGCTGTGGGAAAGCATTTCCAGAACAGCCAAGAAAATTCCCCAGGAGAAATCCATTTGCAAGGGAAAGTCACACCCAACTTCACAGGCCTCACCCAAATTATACAGTATGGCAAAAACAAACAAAAAAATCTTTAAGTACAGTAGTTCCAAAACACACTGCTCAAGTTATGAAATAATTGTGGATCATTTCAAGTAAAAATTATTAAAGGAGCAATAATTAACCACAAGGGGGCATATATACTCCTTAGATTCCAGCAGAAACACTAGTTTTAAGTAGTAACATGCACTTTGATGTATTCTACATTTTCAGTCACTTAAAATTTCCTCTCTCAGATGGCTACAACTTTTTAATATTTGAGGTTTATTTTATAGCTAACTAAAAAGATTCCAGAATACTCCTGCCCCACAAAACAGTAGTGTTTCAGAAGCCTCTGGAGGTGTTGCTTTTACCTTTAGCAAAGAATTCAGGAGGAATTAGTTGTAATACAAATTTGAACAGGTAAATAATAGGAAAATATGGTCTAAAACAGTAGCAAATTTTAGTTTACCATAAATGGAAGACATGGGAGGTTTATTTTTTAAAGTGGGACAAATGATCAGAGTAGCAAAAATAAAAGGGTGGGGAAAATTGATTTTTCTGTGTCTGTGCCACAACCTTGCATTCTTCCCCCATGATCAAATATTTGTAGCCTACAATAGCAATAGAAGACCTTCACTCCAAGGTCACGGCCTGTGGGGCTGGCCTGCCTCGTCAGCCATGTTAAGAATATAGTTAGCCATATCATCTTCAGTGGGTGCATCTGATACCACCCAAGATTCATTTGCTCCAGTCATCTGTAGGCGACAAATAGGGCAATTCCTGTGTCGATCACTCCTATTAGAGAAGTCAAAATAAGAACAGTTTGTTTTCTTTTTCCTTTTTTAAAAACAGGATTTTTAAAAAAGTAATACATGTACATGGCTTTTAAAAAGGAAATAGCATAAAAGTATACAGTGAAAAATAAATCTCTCCCTTCCATCTCAATCTTCAATTCTCCTTCCCAGGGGCAACCACAGTTACCAGTTTCCTATATTCCTCTAGAGATAGACTAAACTTGATTAAGCTTATGTGTACACAGATGCATGTGCGTACATGTGTGTACACACACACACACACACACACACACACAATCACTACTCTACTTGTCAATATCTTATAGACCATTCTTTTTAACATACATTAGATAGCTATGCCATAAGTTGTTTAACTAGTCTCCCACAGGACATTTCATTTTTTTCTGTCTTTTGTTGCTACAAACAATGCAGCAGTTCACCTCCCCATACCTTAACAGGTAAAAGTTTTCCTTTAAAATCAAAACTCCTTGTGAGTTCTAAGAGGAATCTCCCTCTCACCCATGGAAGATTTGGTCGAAGTGTCAAGTATAAATGCTTATATTTGTGATTATTTAAATGGAAGCCATTACTCTAGAAATAACTTCTTGGCAGTAGAAGGGGAATATGACAATAGGAAAGGATATTACTAATTATTTTGCTAAGTAATATATACACGACTTTCAACAATATAATCTGTTGCCTGCTTAAAGGTCTGACAAAAAGTCTTATGGCTCATAGGCAACAGGAAGATTTGTATAAAAATGGAGCATAGAAAGTTTAAAATAAAAGATAAACTTTACATGCATAATACTTTTTCTGACAGGGAAAGAACTCAAATATGATCACTTAAATAAAATTATGTTTTCCAAAGGGATTTTTTTTTTTCTTGTCAAACATTATTTTGGAAATTTAAAAAATACCGTATTTGAACCAGAGACATATCATGCAGGGATGTTTTTCTTTTAATCTGTCTGTGAAATATGGGACCAAAGTAATTATATCAACTGCTTTTTGGTTTTCATGCAAAAATTTTTAGAACTTTGTTCCAAAAACTAAATGTGAAAGCTAGAGTTGGCATGTATTATTTAGGTTGATTTCTGGTTCCTCAGTGATATTTTACAAGATAATTAGATGTGTGCTCTTCTGTGCACAAAACATCACAATTTAAAAATAGCTTCTGCTTCTAACCAACAGAGGCTAGATTTATCTTCCCACTTAAAATTACTAAAACAACGGTTTCATATAATCTTTCAAATACAGCACTGGCCATCAGGCAACAAAGGACAGTGATCCCTGGGACATGGGAAGCAAAGAAGGTGAGATCTATACTTGCCCCAGCTTATAGCCTTGAGAGTTTCTAGTCCCTGATCAAGAAGGGGGAACCTTGATGGAACATGGCAAACTTCTTGAGCTGAACAGACAGAGCTGAGAATCTCAGGGGGTCCAGCTAGAGTTTACAGGACAGAGTAATGGAAAGCTGCACAGAGGGAAAATTCCAGAGGTCTACAGAAGCGTCCCTGCCAGAATACTCAGCTGAGTGCTGATCAGCGTGTGCATGTGAGGACACTACCCGAGGCTGAGCAATCACTCAAAGGGCTTTGAAAGGATAGTACCCTAAAGCTCAGTGGGCCTGGGATACTGCTTGTTCCACCAGCCAGACTGGAAAGCCTCATCACTCTTTGGGCTTTAGTAGAGTTCTCTAAAGGGTCTTGCTATTAGTGGGACATAATTAGTTCTAAACTAAATACTGCTCTGGTCCTGCCTAACAAATCACAAAAGTAAGATCCAAAAGAATCAAACTGTTTCCAAGTCACTTAACTATGTTCCAGAAAAAAGCTCAAGAATATTTAAAGGAATACAAAAATATCCAATACCCAAAAAGGTAAAATTCACAAAGTCTGGCATCCAATTGAGACCTACCAGACATACAAAGCAGCAGCAGAAAAATATAACCTAAAATGAAGAGAAAAATCAATCACAATCACAACCACCCAGAACTAACACAGATATTAGGATTAACAGATAAAATGGAAAGTTATTGAAACCATATTCTATATAGTTAAAAAAGTAGAGGAAAGATTAAAGATATTAAGAAGAGACATGGATGATAATAATAACCCAAATCAAACTTCTAGAAATGAAAATTTAATTATCTGAGGTTAAAAAAAATACACTGACACATGTCCACGTGTGTTCATTGAGGCACTGTTTACAATAGCAAAGACCTGGAACCAACCCAAATGCCCATCAATGATAGACTGGACAAAGAAAATGTGGCACATATACACCATGGAATACTAAACAGCCATAAAAAAAGATGAGTTAACGTTCTTTGTAGGGACATGGATGAATCTGGAAACCATCATTCTCAGCAAACTGACACAGGAAAAGAAAACCAAATACCACAAGTTCTTGCTGATAGGAAGATATTGAACAATGAGAACACATGAACACAGGGAGGGAGCATCACACACTGGGATCTGTTGTGGAGGGGACTAAGGGAGGGACAGTGGATGGGGGAGGTCGGGGAGGGATAACATGGGGAGAAATGCCAGATATAGGTGATGGAGGGATGGAGGCAGCAAACCACCTTGCCATGTATGTACCTATGCCAATAATACTGCATGATCTGCACATGTACCCCAGAACCTAAAGTACAGTAATAAAATAAAAAATCACAAGTACCCCAGAAAAAAAAATACACTAGATGAAATTAATGGCAAGTTAGACAGTGAAGAAAAAAAAGACTGGTAAATATGAAAAGGGTATCTATCCAAATGAAACCCAATAGTAACTATCCAAAATGAAACCCAGAGAAAGACTCAAAAGAGAGAAAAAAAAAAAAAAGAAGAAAAATAGCACCAGTGAGCTGTGGTACAACTTCAAGTGGGCTAATATATGGTAATTGGAATCACAGGAGAGCGGAGAGAAGACAGAAAAAAAATCTGAAAAAATAATGGCTGAAAAATTTCCAAACTTTATGACACTATAAATCTAATCCAAGAAGCTCAGTGAACCCCAAGCACAAGAAACACGAAAAAACTATTCTAAGGCACATCATAATAGAAGTGCTCAAAACCAGTGAAATTAAAAAAACCAAAAACCTTAAAAACAGAGGGGGAAAAAATGGCACATTACCTACAGAGGAAAAAAGAATGACAGAGTTCTCATTAGAAACAATGCAAGCGGGTGTGAAGCAACATCATTAACATACTGAAAGAAAAAATAAAGTTTAGAATTCTGAATCAGAAAAACACTTTGAAAAATGATATTCAGACATTCAAGAAGATCCTATGGAATCTACAAAAATACTACCAGAACTGATACATGAGTTTAATAAGGGTACAGGATACAGGTTGATATACAAAAGTCTATTGTATTTCCATACACTAGTATCAATCATAAATTGAAAATTTTAAATACCATTTAAAGCATCATACAAGTATGAAATACTTGGGGATAAATATCAAAGATATGCAGTACTGAAAACTACAAAAATTGGTGAGAGAAATTAAAGACATAAATAAATGGAGAAATGTACTGTGTATGTGGATAGAAAGACTCACTAGTAAGAAATTCACTCCCCCTAAATTGATATATTTATTCAATGCAATCCCAATCAAAATTAGCTTTTTGGCAGAAATTGATAAGCTGATTCTAAAATTCATACTGGAATGCAACAGGCAAAACAACTTTGAAAAAGAACAAAGTAGAAAAATTAACACATCCTGATTTTAAGACTTACTATAAAGCTACACTAATCAAGGTAGTATGCTATTGGTGTAAACTAGAGAAACAGGTCAACAAAACAGAACAGTCCAGAAATAGGCCCACATTTTCAACAAAGGTGCAGAGGCAATTTAGTGAAGATAGCCCTTCAGCAAATTGTGCTGGAGCAACTGGACAGCTATATGTAAAAAATAAATTTTAAAAAAAGAAATTTGATTCCATAACTTATACCATATAAAAAATTAACTCAAAATAGACTGTAAACTAAAAAATTATAAAACTTTGGAAGACAGAAAAAAAACCTTTGTGATCTTTGGTTAGGAAAAGAAATCTAAGAAAAGATACGACAATAAAATCACTATCTATAAATCATAGACTGATAAATTGGACAACAAAATTAACATCTTCTACTCCTTGAAAGACATTCTTCAGAGAATGAAAAGGCAAGCCACAGAGTGGGAGAAAATACTTGCAAAACACATATCTAATAAAGGACATATATCCAGAATACAAAGAACTTTCAAAACCCAATAACATGGGAAAAATCCAATAAAGAAATGGGCAAAGATTTGGATGTACTCTTCACCAGAGAAGACACACAGATGGCAAACTGGCATATGAAAAGGTGCTCAACATCTTCAGTTAGCAGGGAAATGCAAATTAAAACAACAATGAGATATTACTACACACCTATTAAAATGTCTGAAATTAAACCATACCAAATACTGGCAAGGACGTAAAGCAACTGGAACTCTCATATGCTGCTAATGGGAATGCAAAATGGTGCAACTGCTTTGGAAAATAGCTGGCAGTTCTTTTTAAAAGTTAAACACACACCTACCATATGATGTAGCCATTCCACTTCTAGGTATTCACCCAAGAAAAAACCCAAAATACATCCATAAAACTAACTTGTCCATGAATGTAGCTAGTAGCTTTATTTTGTAATAGCTAAAAATGGAAAACAATCTAATTTCCCGCAATAGGTGAATGGATAAACAAGCTATGGTAGCCACTTAATAGACATTACTCAGCAATAAAAAGGCATGAACTATTGATACATACTACAGCATGGACAAATCTCAAGATAATTGTATTGAATGAAAGAAGCCAGACAAAAAAAGCACATATTATTATTTCATTTATAAAAATTTTAGAAAATCCAGATTATTTTATAGAGATTGAAAGGAGATTACTGGTTGCCCGGGGACTAGGGGATAGAAGTGGGAAGAAGGCTTTACACTGGAGCATAACTTTTAGGTGTTATGGAGATGTTCACTATCTTGATTGTGATGATAGTTTTTACAGGTGTGGATATATGTTTAAACAAATTATACATTAAATACATGTATTTTATTTATTTCATAAATTAACCTAGATGCTCACATCTTATTTTGTAAAATAATGAATTTGACTAGATGATTAGGTCAAGTATTCAAGGATTTATTCCTTCTAAACATACATACAGAATAAATGGTGAAATGAGGAGAAAAAAGGAGGAAAAAGGGAAATGTTTGATTTTAGACTCAAGTCAGGTACAAATTTTCATACAGCAAAAGAAAAGTGTCAAAAACTAAGCTACGCCCCCACATATAATAAATGTCAGGTGTAAAAATAAAAATATTTTTAACCAGTAGAAGGCATGCCATAAAATTCAAAGTACTAAAGAATAAAAATTACTTTCATACTTAACTACAGTATTTTTGCACTTTTCAAAGTTTATTCATGTACACTATCACATTGTCCTTGGCCTATTCCATGAAGGCAGTAGGTAACTTACCATTTATCAATACACTTCTGACAAAAGCTGTGAGCACAAGGCAGGATGAGGTCAACTCGCCCGTCCATACAGATACAACACTCCTCCTCATCGGTCAGCTGCTTTACCCTGCAATATGAAAACTGAGCTGAAACAATGATATTCTCTGTCATTGTGCTTTATACTTTGCTTTTTGTTGCTTTAAAAAGCATTATTAAACATCTATGTGCCCATGGTATAAAGCACAATATGACTCGTGCAAAATCAGACTAAAATTAACTTATCTTTTAGGGATTAGAAAATGTATTAGGGAAGAAGTATTAAGAGAGATACATTTCATAAAGACTAAATAAAAGATACATTTTATGATAGTTAAAGAAAAGAAAATATAGGCAAAAAGTGGAAATAGTCAAATCTTTCTGGAAATAACTCATTTTAATCATATTGGATCTATATAAACAAATTTAACCAATACAGTTATTGCATTACTTAAAAACAGGGATATGGTCTGAGAAACTCATTGTTAGGTGATTTCATTGCTGTGTAAATATCACAGTGTACTTACATAAACCTAGATGGTTTAGCCTAGTACATACGTAGGCTATATGGCATAGCCTATTGCTCCTAGGCTACAAACATGTACAGCACGTTACCGTATGGAACACTGTAGGCAACTGTAACACAATGGTGGGTATGTGTGTATCTCAATATATCTGAACACAGAAAAGGTACTGTGTAAATATGGTATAAAAGATTAAAAATGGTACACCTGTATAGGGCAATTACTATAAATGGAGCATGCAGGCCTGGAAGTTGCTCTGGTGAGTGAATGAGTGAGTAGTCGTGAGTGGATGTGAAGGCCTAGGACAGGAGCATCCAATCTTTTGGCTTCTCTTGGCCACACTGGAAGAACTGTCTTTCTTGGGCCACATATAAAATACACTAACACTAATAATATCTAATGAGCTTAAAAAAAAAAAAATCACAAAAAAAACCTCTCATAATGTTTTAAGAAGGTTTACGAATTTGTGCTGGGCCACATTCAAAGCCATCCTGGGCTGCATGCAGCCCATGGGCCACAAGTTGGACAAGCCTGGCCTAGGAACATATACCACTTGTACAGTAGTGTACAGACTTGATGAACACTGTACACTTAGGCTACACTAAATTTATAAAAATATTTTTTTTCTTAAATATTAACCTTAACTTACTGTAGTTTAACTTTACAAACTTTTTAATTTTTTAACTTTTTGACTTTTTGTAATAACATTTACCTTAAAACACCGACACTATATAGCTGTACAGAAATATTATTTTATAAGCTTTTTTCTATTTTTGAGATTTTTAAAAATTTTTTTAACTTTTTAAACTTTTTTCTTAAAAACTAAGACACAAACACACACGTTAGTCTAGGCCTAAACAGGGTCAGGATCATCTTTATCACTGTCACTGTCTTCCACCTCCACCTCTTGTCCCACTGGAAGGTCTTCAGGGCCAGTAACATGCACAGAGCTGTCATCTCATTTAGTAACAATGCTTTCTTCTGGAATACTTGCTGAGGGGCCTGCCTGAGGCTGTTTTTACAGGTAACCTTTTTAAAATAAGTTTTTTAGAAGGAGTAGATGCTAAAATAATGATAAAATAGTATAATAAATGCATGCCAGTAACATAGTTATTATCAAGTATTACTGTATATGACTGTAAGTGCTATACTTTTATACTGTGAGCAACACAGTAGGTTTGTTTATAGCAGCATCACCAGGAACATTTGAGTAATGCATTGCATCACAACATTAGGTTATGACATACATAGGCAATAGGAATTTTTCAGCACCAGTATAATCTTATGGGACCACCGTCATATATGCAGTCTGTCACTGACCAAAACATTGTTAGGTGATGCGTGACCATGTAATTTATTCACTATGTGTAATACAAAGCTCCCTAAAATATGGATCCTGCCATCAGGGCCTTACAATGCTGACACTGATAATGGGCATATAAGCGAAAGAATAGCTTAGTCTTAAGTGACACAAGGGAATAGAAAGCAGTTTCTGTTCTTGAGGGGCTCTTCCATCATCTTGAGGAAAAAAAAGAAAAAAGATTTCAAACCTTTTGCTCCAGCCACAATTCAGAATGCCCCTGAATGAGCCATATGCCTTTGCACATGGTATTTTCCTTTCCTGAAATTGCCCTGTGAGTTTAGTAAGCTCCAACCTCAATAACTCAGCTCAAAACATCATCTCTCTGCTCTCAAAATCAACATTTGCCTCAATTAAAGGCCTTAAATATTGCATATTGATTGGCTGGTCTCTCCATAAACTGTAAGCTCTTTGAATATGCATGTTTGTCTTAGATTCTCAATAAATGTTTCCTCATTTTAATTTCTTTTAAAGTTTGTGCTTTTTTGTAATTTTTAAGCTTTTCTTCATCAAACATGTATTACTTCTGTAATCATACAAAACTGAATGTTTCAAAGTATAGCCACTAGATTATAAACTTCTTAAGGGTAGGAGCTATTAGTATAGGTATAGGTTTTTCATTCCCTGCTGTGCTTGAGATAGTACTTAAAATTTTGATTTGAACATAAATAAAAATAAATGTCAAATGTATATTAAATATAATAAGTGCTAAGTAAAGAAGGAAGAGATTAATATATTTCAAGCTTGTTGAAAAGATGAGATAGAAAAATAATAGGATTTTAATAGAGGACATTCTAGGTGCATAAACCACGCTGTAGAGGTCAAAAGCAAAATCATGTGTGTTTATGCCTTTGTATACTATGTATATGTACCCAGGAAGCTAGCATGATGCTTGGGTATAAAAACTGAAGAAAAAGATTAAAGTGGAGATAATTTCACCTTTAAATGTCAAAATACTAAGTTTGAACATGTTCCGGCAAGCAAACTAGAACCAGTGTATAATCAAGTGGTAGTGAACTCCCACCGAAATGGTACTTTAGGAAGATTTAATTGGGAATGCAGTATGAGGGACAGCCTAGAGAAAGGAAAACCGGTTACGGCCTTATTTCAGCAATTCATCTGAGAGATAATTAGGTCTAAGAAGCATTGTAGAAGACAAATGTTTTATATGGTAATAGATTAAGTGTTATGCTTTAGTAATAGGAAAAAGAGGGCAGCCACTGAATTGGAAAACTGAATAAAAACCTAGATAGATGTGGGCCTAATGTATCTGAGTTTCATATATATACGTGTGTGTGTATGTATGTATATGTATGTTTTCAGTTCAACATGTAAGTGCCTTTTAGGTCTGTACCAGATCCAAATGAGTTAGGGTCTCCACTTTTAAGGCGCTTACAATCTTCATCTAAGGATGTTGGCTTGGGTGTCAGTAGCAGAGACTACTGAATCCGTACACAGTGATAGAATATTCTGAAGGCTGGAGTTTAAAAGTGAGAAACAGAGGACCACAAAGAAGAGCATTGTGGAGAGACATAAAAGAATGGGAGACACAGAAATAGCCAGTGGAACCAGTACAAGGTTCTGCGAATTTTCTGCTACCTTCCTAGCAGCACGGTGACCAGAGGAAGGAGAGTCCTGGGTTGTTTGTTCCTATTAGATCACCTGTAGATTGGAGTATTTGGTTCTATGCCTCATACTCTGAAAGGCACACATACTGACAGAAAAAGCCTCCAGTATGTAGACGAGACCCACATAAACAAAGGCCAAAGGAACTGGGGGTGCTTATCCCTGAGAACAGAAGGCTCAGTGAGAATTTGATGATTGTTTTCAAATATCTGAGAAGCTGGAAGAGAGAACAGATTTGTTTGGAGGAATTCCAGAGGGAACAGCCATTGAAAGCAATAAATGGAATATAGTAACAATTTAATAATAATGACAGTTAACCCATATAGACTAATTATTACGTGCAAAGTACTGTTCTAAACACCTTATGTCTTCTAACTTTCTCAACAGTCCGATAAAACATATCCTATAGTTATTAACCTCTGTTAGAAGATGAGAAAACTGAGGAAACAGTTTGCTTTGTCAAGAAAATCACACAGGAGTGGAGCCCAGGATTTGAACACAGGCACTTTGCTGCTAGAGTCTGTGCTGTGCTACCTCAAGAAAGATTTTGGCTACTCTGAGGAAAATGAAGCAAAAGGAAAAACTTTATAGTGATTAAAGCCATCTGATTATGAAAAGGCTTTTTTGAGGCAGTGCGTCTCACGCAACTGCAGGTGTTACCTGTTTAAGTCGGGCTTGGCAAAATGTGGGTAAGCAGAGTCTTGCTATTCAAAGTGCCATCTGAAGATTAGTAGCATTGGCCTTACCTGGGAGCTTGACAGACTCACTCGCTTCTCCTCAAAACCACTGAATATTAAAGTTTGAAAAGCTCTGTGTGCAAGATCTTTATGCACCAGAAAGTAATAATGCAGAGGTTAGAGCACAGCTGTACTGCCAGAGAGCCCTGAATGTGAGTCTTAGCTAGGACAATTTCTAATCATGACATTTATACAGCTAAATCTCAGATTCTTTGGCTGAAATGGGCCGATAATTGTACTCCCATATGGGGTTGTGAGAATGTAATGAGTTTATACATTAAATTCTCACAACCTCATATGGGAGTACAATTATCAGCCAACACTCATCACAACTGTACAACACTCATCACAATTCTATACCCTATAAGTAATCAATAAATGTAAACCATCAATGGAACTATGCATCAGATGTAAATAAAGCTCAACTACATAAATGTCCCTCAGGACCTCCTTCAACTTAGAAAGTCTCTATGAAGTAGTGTATAAGGATATTATTATAAGCCAAAAACCATACATAAACAAGAAGCACCCCTAAGAAACTAATCAGGAACTGAGTTTCCAGTTTTGAGGGCACAGGAAAGCGCTAACACCTTTGCAACAAGAAAAATATTTTCTTTTCATGTGCTATCATATAGTTTAAATACATTGGCAAACACCATCCTCAGCTTTTAAAACAATTGAAATAATAACCACCATTCAGAAGAGAGGAGAAGAAAAGCAGAAAAATCAGACCCCTGTCTTTGAAAGATTACAGGATACAGGAAAGACAAGCCTAAACACTGCCTACAATGTTCTAAAAGTCACTTGGCATATCGGTAACACTTGTATAAGCCCAAACCTAGAAAAGCAAATAACTCTATTAAAGATAACCAGGAAATAATAAATGGAAAATACAGTTTAACTGTAACACAGTACTTGAAAACCAGTTGGTTAAAAATGAACCAGAAAATACAAGTGTAAATAGAACAGTAAAAAAAGAAATCACTGTTAAGCACATTCTTTGAATACAGATTTCTGCTATATACCCAGTATGACAGTAAGATGGATGTCAACATGTTTGGATCCATGTAGATCTTTTTCCGATGAGACATTTACAAATTTAAATCATGATCATAATTGTCAAATGGCAAGAGATGGGAGCTTTCAGGTGCCAAAAGCAAAACAGAGAAGGAAAAGAAAGTTTAGATAGAACAATAATGTATTAGGCCTGAGTAAACAAGCACCATCAGAGAAAACTCTGGCTGACTTCATTCCCTTCTGGTAATTCAGTATATGTATTTGGTTCATTCTTGAATGGACTGCCAAGTCCTGAAGCCAATATTTAAAAATTTAATGCTTCAATTAGACATTTGTAAGAAAAACCGGGATGATTTTGCAAAATTCTTGGACCTAATTCCCTAAAAAGCTTTGACTGTCTAAGAACTTAAATACCTATTATAAGGAGGGTGTTAACTATCTCCTTTATAATGTATGCATATAGAGTGGATTCCTGGACACCAGTGTGACAGAAACTTTAACTGATGTGGGCCACTTTATTGATTTTTTTTGAGACAGAGTTTTGCTCTTGTTGCCCATGCTGAAGTGCAATGGCATGATCTCAATTAAAGCAACCTCCATCTCCTGAGTTCAAGTGATTCTTCTACCTCAGCCTCCCAAGTAGCTAGGATTACAGGCATGTGCCACCACACCCAACTAATTCTGTAATTTTTTTTAGTATAAACAAGGTTTCACCAAGTTGGCCAGGCTGGTCACAAACTCCTGACCTCAGATGATCCACCCACCTCGGCCTCCCAAAATGTTGAGATTACAGGTGTAAGCCACCACACCTATCCAAGCCACTTTAACACGGTAACATCTGAAGCACAGAGTAACTCCAAAACTGATCTCAGATACAATACTAACTGAGAAAAAAAAGATTGAAGATGCTAAAGTCAGCACCAGCAAAAATATTAATGAGATTTTAGTTGTTTGCATATTGGAAAAAAAAGTGAAATACAGCAATTATGCATTACATACCTTCCCATCCAAAAACTAGCCTGACAAGATGTTACAGAGGATGAGCTTTCATCAGGTTCTTCAGAGGTGGAGCTTTGTGCTAATACTCCTGCTGCTTGACTTGTGATATCTTTATAAAGTTGAATAAACTGGTACAAATTCATGATCCGTGATGCCTCTACAATGCCACTGCTTTTGTTAATCTAAAAAATACAAAGAATATGAAAAAGAGAAAAGCTGATCATTTCTGGGACCAATTTTTCCCAAAAAGGGGGAACAAATGTGTAGTCAAACATCCTAGGAAATAGAGGAGTTTTCAGGATTTGCAAATTACCTCAGAAAGCAAGAGTCTGAATAAATAATACCATGTCCCCTACATTTGTGGTGTTCAAAGTTCTTATACAAGTTTATCTCATTTAATACTCAAAATAACCCTATAAGATTAATTAGGCATTATCCTGTTGATGGGGTGAGGTGACTTTCTCAGAGTTAAGAAATAAATTTTAGAGTTCAGTATTGACAAATCTTTCATTTTAATTTCTTAAAGCATTTCTTAACCAAAGGATTCATTTGAATTCAACAACCACATGAGATTCTACAACTCAAACAAGTACTTTCTTAAATATCTTTAAGTTCTATTTTGTACCAAAACTTCTAAACTAAAGCATGAAAATTGTTTTAAAATAAATCCTAATAAAAGGTGACTTTCCCAGAAGGCCATTTTGAGTTTTATCAAAAAACTCGTTTAATATGAAGTGAAACCAGTGGCCCAAAGGTTGTACCTTTATAGGTTGTACCTCTCCTCCATCCAGTTTACAATCTAATGTAGAAGGTATCTGGGGCAAGTGGAGGGGAATGCTTTCATAAGCTTTGGGGAGTCATGGAATGAGGCATAATAAAATGAGTGAGGCCAGTAAGGTGATGGAATAATGTTCTTGGATGAAGAATTTGACTTAATCAGACAAAGATTAGAGGTGTGAAAGACTTCCTTTCAGCACAAGGCATAGGATGGAAGACTGGGGAAGAAGAAGTAAGCCATGAAATCTATTAAGTACATATCAAAGTAAGTGGAACAAGCAAAATCAGAAAATACTTAGAAAGAAATGAAGAATATAGGAAGAGAGATAAAGAGAGAGGGCCATAATGCTGTGACTTAAGTTAGATTTTGAAATGTGTTGATAGACCTAGCGATATCAGAAAGTGAGGTAGTTAGATTATACATTTAAAAATCTTATCCAACATTTGAATATTGTTAATGAAAACAGTAATAGCTGTAACACATTTATTAATTGTTCACTATTTGAGAAGGCAGTGAAAGTACTGAGACTCAAGAATGAGTCACATACCATACTAAGAAATTTTAGAACCATCTCCAATAATTAGAAAGTTGATTAAATTTTGGAAGATAAAATCTATTGGAGATGCAAATATACAAGGTTCTTTGGAATAGGAGACTGTACATGAGGTAGAGAATACAATTTGAAAGTAACAGGAATTTATAGAGGCTTACAAAACAGATCTTCAGAGCTGAGGAAATTGGGGTAGTCCTTTGGAACTGCATAGTACAGAAGAAATTACAGAATATATAAGTTTAGTATAGAAATAGCAAAGTATCACACTGTAACTATTCTCATCATAGGATTCCTGAAACAAGAATTTACTGAGCACTCATTATGTGGATGTTACTGGTACTATGTGCACTGCTCTAGGCACTAGTGACAATGTGTACAAAACAAAATCTCTGCCCTCAAGCAAGTTATGTGATAGGTAGGAGAGACAGACAAATAAAATACAGATTAGGCTAGATGAAAATAAGTGTAATGGAGAAGATGAAACAGGGGAGAAGGAATGCTGAGGCGTTACAGGGAAGGCCTTACAGAGAAGCTGACATTTAAGAACTGAAAGAGGTGCTGAAATGAGTCATATAGATGTCTAGGGGGAAGATCATTCCAGGCTGAGAGAACAGGAAATACAAAGCCTGTTTAGAAGTGTACCTGGCAAGGAAAACAGAGTCCCACAAGAAGCCCAGTGTTTGCAGAAGAGTGACAGAGGGACAGAGGGAGGAGTGGTGGAAGACAGAGGAGAGGGTGAGGTGGGAGCAGAATATATAGGACTTTGCTGATTTCAGTAATAACTGTGGCTTTGATTCCAAGTCCATGAGAATTCACTGGAGGGTTTTGAGCCAAGGAATAATATGATCTAATTTACATCTCAAATTGTGATGTGGAATAGACTGGTTGCTGTGCTTGGAATAGACTGGTTGTTATGCTGAGAATAGAGAGAAGCAGGGCAAGAGCAGAAGCACGCAGTTAGGAGGCTACTGGAATAATCCTGGTGAGGAATAATCCTGGTCACTAGAAATAGGGTGGTAGTAGCGCAGATGGTAAAAACTACCTAGATTCTGAATACATTTTGAAGAGAAACGTGACAAGATTCACTTATGGACTGATGGTATGAGAGACAAAGAAAAGTCAAGAATGATTCCAAGAAGTTGGTCTAAGTAAAAAGGAAGATGAAACAATACAATCCATACAGTCCTTAACAGACACCTTAGTACCCAATTTTTAATTCATCTCTTACTTTTCTAATATTATTTCCATAAAATATTTCATAGAAACATATTTTAGATCATTGTTTATAATGGATTAAATATTACTTGAGGATAATCATAACAGACGGCAAATAGTCAAGATAAAGACAATGTAAATACAGAGGGTTAAAGTACAAGTTTTTAAAAGTTGTTTAACATTAAGAAATGTGAAGCTTTCAGCCTCCTATCAGTTTTTCACGGTAAACTTGACCACTTTCTAATATAAATACTGACCTCTCAGATTCTTTCAGAAAGAACCCAAGGAATGCAAATAAAAAATTTTATTTAGAGTAGCTCTAAAACCAAGAAAAACCATATGAAAAAATACCTGTGTTTAGTACTTTTGTTTCTCTACTTAGAATCTTATTTTAAGGAAGATGTTTAATCACATACAGATGTTAGAGATACTGAGTCAAAAAAGGAATTTGACTACTAATAAAATTAAACCTTGTCTGTGTTTGTCAAAGAGCAACAAAAAACTAAGGGATCAAAACCTGATATATTCATATTCCCTTAGCTTTCTACAATTTATATTGGCCTCTTCAACATAAGCTGAGTAGTTTATGAAATAAAGATGGACAGTAAATGTAATTTAGGTAATATATTGTATCACTGAACAAGGAAAGCTTCAACCTATCCCAGTCATTTAAAAAGTATTATTTCAACATTTTTTTTGTTGTTCACTTAACATATACTGAGTTCCTACTGTGTGCAAAGCACTATATTACAGGCTGTAAGAGATACAAGAATGAATCCAGACATAGCTCCTGCCCTCGGGGGGTTATTATCTTAAGGGGAGCTAAGAACCTAAACAAACAACTTTTTTGTAATGCAGAATTTAATTGTAAAGTATAAATAATGTGCTGTTGGAATCTGGAAGAGACAAGAGAAATTGTATCCAGAAGACTTAATGGATAAGATGATATCTGAGGTGGACCATTAGAGACATCCGGTTTAGATATGCAGAAATAAAAGATGTGGCAGAAACTATCGGCTGATTATCCAAATACGATTCTTCCTTTTCACTGCCAGCACAACCTGATTTTTTGTGTCCACCATTCCCCGAAATGACTCAGGAGTCAATCCTGGTTAGTCTAATCCAAACCAATCACGCTAATCATATTCCCTCTGCCAGTGTAGGTGTATGAAGGGGATATGACCCAATACTGACCAGTGAGTTCAGAAGTGACATCTGCTGGGTCTTTAATTTAACCAATCCTACAGAGGGTTGCAGCTAGGATCCTACAGTGCTATGATTTGTCGATAAGTGAGAAAATATTCTTTTTGTTTAAACTGGTTTAACAGCAATTTTCTGTGACTTCCTAATGGAAGGAATGGACATCCTAGTTGAGGGAACACAATAAACAGAAGCACTGAACTAGAAAAGTAACATAGAATGCAGAGCAAAAGAACTAATTGTAACTAATGCAGAAAAGATAGTTTGGAGCCATATTGTAGGATTTGGGTCTATTTAGTAGGTAAGATGGAATTACTGAAGAATTTTAAACAAGGCAGTGATCTGATAAGAGCTGTGCTATAGAAAGGTTAATCTCACAGCAGCATAAATTAGACTTTGAAGAAGAGTGTGGAAGTATAGAGATTAATACAAAATCTGTGGTAATCTGGATCAGAAGAGAGAGATCAGTCTGTTTGAGAGCATGGTATTTGTCTTATTTATCATATATTCCCAGTGCCCCTCACACTTGAGCTTAAATGTTTACTTAAATAAACTGGAAGCGAAACATAGTATGGGTAAAACTGACAACCTACTGAGGAAATAAGACACATTATCTGGGTAACTTCTAGGGTCCATGACTCAAGGGAAAAATCTCCAAACCAGGGAGTCTTTATGATCAGGAATGAACTTCAGAGCACTCATGAATGCCCAATTTATGGTTTATATGCATATGGATGATTTTGTTGTTTGTTTTAGAGCCAGGGTGGGGAGAGGCGGTGGCCTAATAAAATTCATGCCTTCATTTAATCAAAAGGTCTATGGCCTCAAATAGGTGAGGAACTGTCTATCTGAATCCATTTAATGGTGGTTGAGGCTTTCTAATACTCAATGACAGCTGCCATTGTATTTGTAGTGGAGTTAGAGGTGAACTAAGAAACACAATGCATGATGGCAAAAAATCTATCTCATAACTAAAAATTACTAAAAAACAAACCCCCCAAAAAACTGTTTCAATGGATCCTTTTTCTTTTTAATGAATGAATGTATTCTTAAAAGAAATAATCTTGAGATAACATTAATTTTTCAGGTATCATCTTAAAGCTAAATAGGGTGTCAACTTAGCACTCTATAGTCAGCTACAAATCCAAAAACAGATAGGTTAGTATGATGTAATGGTTAGAGATATTGACACAAAAAAGAATTTTACTATAAAAACCCCTGTTATATAGCAATTAGACAACTCTAAGATTCAAAGAGCTAGCTACAAGGCAATAACAGTATCAAAACTGTTTTACAAAACCACCAAGTCATTAAAATTTATATGCATTATATTATCTTACACTATTAAATATGATTCTAGCCATCAAAATAGCTTAAGCTCAGAGGTGGAAGTCTCTACCAGTCTCACCTTGGTACAGACCACCCGTACAACCACTTTCCAAAAAGCAGAGGAATCAGACCCAGGTTGTACCTCAAAGAGAAGATGTTTTTCCTGGCCAGAAGCCACTTTAGCAGTTCTGAAAAGAGACAGGCACATGTTAATTTTGTAAAAAAAAAAAAATCATCAGTAAAATAATAGAGCTGTGAAACTAATTCAAGAAACACTTTCAAACAGAAGGAAATATGAAAAAAAAACACACAAAGACAAATAACAATGATTATACTAACTGGATTCTTAAAACAGGGATACAGAATATTTTGAACATAAACACCAACTTAATTTCTAAGGTTTTTAAAGTCAACAGCTTAGTGGGATATTTAAAAATCTCTCTTCATAACATCTATATCTCAATGGTCTTTAAATTTCTAACAAAGACATTTAGGAAAAATAAGTCTGAGAAATCAGAGACTTAAAAAAAAAAAAGGTGGGATGGGCACAGTGGCTCACACCTGTAATTCCAAAACTTTAGGAGGCCAAGGTGGGTAGATCATGAGGTTAGGAGTTTGAGACCAGCCTGACCAATACGGTGAAACCTTGTCTCTACTAAAAATACAAAAATTAGCCAGGTGTGGTGGTGTGCACCTGTAATCCCAGCTACTCAGGAGGCTGAGGCAGGAGAATTGCTTGGACCCAGGAGGCAGAGGTTGCAGTGAGCTGAGATCACACCATTGCACTCCAGCCTGGGCAAGAGAATGAGACTCCGTCTCAAAAAAAGAAAAAAAAGAGTTATCTAGTGTCATTTATCAAAATTTTGACTATTACTTAAAATGTATATAAAGTATGAAAAACACCTTGCCCTTGGTTGAGTCCTTGTTTAAGCAACAATATTAACAAACCTCTTGAAAGTTTTTGTTCAGATAATTTGGGACTGGATCAATAAAACAACTGATTTGAGACACTTTATATATAGCTCTACTGTCCTCCCCTAGCAGAGTAATTTTAATTTAGAGGGCTACAGGATTTTAACATAAAAATGTATCACTTTTAGAAGCTAATGCAATATTATACTATCAACATTAATTTAAATCAATTCAAATATATGCTTAAGTATTGTAGTTTCCTTTTATCATTACTAACAACTCACTCTCGGCACCAGTGGGAATATCACACTCAACTAAGTGACTTACAGCTCAATAAAATGAGGCCATGAAAAGTTAAGCAACTAGCCTTAGGAAACAAAGTATTCTGTGAAAATAATTCAGCTGTGCCAGTTTCCAGTTCTGTTTTCTAGCTGCCAAGCCACACTTTGTCGTGTACAGGTTTAATTTTACAGTTCTTGAAGATCACTGCATGTCTGAAATGCCCAACTCTGACCCATGGGAATTGGTTTTAAAAACCAAATCCAGTCAGAAGTGTCCTGTGCTAAATAAATAAAAGGAAGACCTCTGTACCACACAGTAAGCTTAGTCTGTGGATGGTTTTATAGGGTACATTTTATCTAATACCTGTACCTTTAGGCTAAAGGGCAAAATTTTATACAATAGACTGGGTATGTGAATATAAATTCCAAGACTCTAAAGGAATGGTAAATGTCATTGATGACTGCTCATAAGAGTTGAAAACACAAAAAAGCATTCCACTCTTATATTACTAAATTCACAGTCCTATTTTAAAAATACCTTAAGAATATGGTCCCAGAAGTAATGCTGCAAACACTACCCTTTGGATAATTTTAAAAAATGCTAGAATTTTTAAAACCAATGACTGTATTTTTATTATAAAATACATAAATACACACAGTAAAATGTAAAATCACCCATCTGCCTTCTTTTCCCACTGTCTCCCAACCATGAGACAAGCACTGGGAATAGTTTAGTTCATTTTCTACACACAAACAGCCCCCTATATACAGGTTTTGTTTTTTAATGAATGAAATCCAGTCTTCTTAAAATAAACCACCTTCTAAGATAACTTTTAAGACAGTCTTTATTCTTCACATAAAGACAGTATGTCAAGCTTATCTAATGTGTTCCAGATTGCCAAGTATGTGTGTTACCACCTAACACCATGGTCATGCCTAGGTAGTGTGTTCATATACCTTACCTTAAACTATTAATAGTGACTACAGCATTGTAAGTTTATATATTAAGTGATCCTGAACTGCCAGATGATTTCATTCAGCCTTCTTAAGGGGAGGTAATGTGGGATAACAGGATATCTGAGATTCAGAGAGGTGGTCCTGCCATTAATACCTGGGCAATCAATTTAGCCCTCAATTAAAAGGTCTAGTCCTTAGCAGAGTGCCTTGCACATACTATGTGCTCAATGAATGTTATCTAAGTTGAAGAGACTTAAGAGAGACCTTTATGATCTCATTTAAGAGGTGACTCCATAGATTCTAAGGGGTGAGAAGATATACATAAATAAAGGTGGATGTGGATGTTGCCAGAGGCAGACTTAAAAGAAAGATATGACATCTGCCCAATTGTCACCAAGGGAGAAAATAAACAGCAAAAAAGTTGTATTTAAAAAGCACAGTGGTCTGGGGCCATTCAGGGACAAAGCACCCTATATATTTTAATAGCTTCTATATAGATCAATACCAAAATTGATATAATAAATAATAAATTAATAAAAGACTAAGTGGTATTAGGTGTGCTCTTTAAGAAGGCAGAGAAATTTATATTCCATTTTAAAAATCTATTCAAAGACTTAAGTAGAAATTTAAAGGTGTTAAATAATTAGAATATATTAATTAAGAAATATGTTATTTCTCAGTGGCAAAAATGAGCTAGTACTACATATGTATTCCTCTGGCAGTAAAAAACAGTATATATATATGTGTGTGTACACACACACACACACACACACACACACACAAATCAATTAGTCAAAGGTAAAACCTTCTCGGTGTTACCTTTGACAATCCTAGGAGTCTTTTCCTAGAATGGCTAATTTGCATATTCCATTTTATGCAGCCCTTTAGTGCTTTCAAGCAAGAGTCTATTGGTATAAAATTGAGATGTTGGGTTGTACTACTGTATCTTACTGTACTACTGTATCCTAGAATTGCTTCAATATGCCTGTGCTGTGTTCCAAGTTCCATTTTAAGTTCCTTCCATCTCTTCTGTCCCCATGACATATTTTCAAAAAGCTACATAGACATAATAGATAATAAATATTTCAAAAAGCTACACAGCTGTAATAGATACTCAATAAATATTTGTTAATTGCTAACTGAAAACATTTAAGTCTTACCAATCAATACCTCTGGTTACATTTTACATAGCGATGACATATGGGGCATACATACATCGGTGGAAAAATGAAAAAAAGAGCAAGCCTTACACATCATTAAGCTCAGCTACTCTCCCAAGAAATTCTTCATAAGTTAAGGAGCCACTCTCTCGAACCAATGTGACATGTTTTGCTACTTTTTCTGGTAACTTGCTAATAACCAACTGTGTCTGATCCGAAATTTGCTGTCCCATGATGAAATGATGTCTTTCAAAATCCAGAAAGTGTTGCTTCACATAGTTTCTGTCAAATATACAGAAAAGTTACTTTTACATATAATACAAAAACAGCAATGTACCCATTCTTCAAAAAAATAAAGAAAAACTAGGAATACCTTTAAGTGAGAGCTGAGTAGACCTACATGAGTCTAAGGTAGAATTTAAACGACTATGGTTTTCAGATTCACATAGCTAAATGAGAAAACAGGATTCACTTACATATCACTGAGGGGGGGGGGTGATGAACCTCTAAATCTTGTAAGTTTACCAAGTCAAAAACTGCTGAAGCTCGCGCACATGCCCACACCCACCCACACCCACACACACACACACACACACAGAGGCATTCAAGTAATTCATTTAAGAGGACGCTTGTCTACCTTATATAATTTTCCTAAGAATATTTCCTGATTGCTTACCACGTCAGACTCCAAACTGTTTTCCATATTTTATGTCAGCTACTTCATACAACAATCCTACAAGGCAGACAATATTATACTCCTACCTATTTTCCACAGACGGGGAAACTGAGCTAGGTGACTTATCTAAAGTTACACAGTTTTAAGTGGTGAAAGTGAACTTGGAATTTGTTTTTCAGATTCTAATACTTACATTCTTATCTACATTGACATACTGGCTCACAATATACTTCTATCAGCTAAAAAAATTTGTTGTTGAATTCCTTTATTTATAGATTTATACCTTAGTTTTAATTTTTAAAAATAAACAGACTTAGAGAAACCTAAGAAAATTAAAATATCATATCTTAACCACCTCACATTTTCTGCTTGGAAAAGACAGCTCTTTTGTTCATTGATTCTTTTTTTTTTTTGACATGGAGTTTTGCTCTTTTTGCCCAGGCTGGAGTGCAATGGTGCCATCTCAGCTCGGCGCCATCTTGGCTCACCACAACCTCCGCCTTCCAGGTTCAAGCGATTCTCTTGCCTCAGCCTCCTGAGTAGCTGAGATTACAGGCATGCGCCACCATGCACAGTTAATTTTGTATTTTCAGTAGAGACAGGGTTTCTCCAAGTTGGTCAGGCTGGTCTCAAACCCCCAACCTCAGGTGATCTTCTCGCCTCAACCTCCCAATGTCTGGGATTATAGGTGTGAGCCACTGTGCCTGGCCTGCTCATTAAGTTTTAGATATCCCCCAAAATATATATCTAATACGTATCAATTTTTTAAATGCCCCCCAAAATCAGCTGCCCCCAATAAATTCTATTTTATTTATCCATCAAAGACTATCATTGTATTTCACCCAAATTAACACCCATATCACATAAAGCAGGTGAAACAGTAATACTCTTATAGGAAGTTTTGGTAGGAAGATTGCTTTATCATTTAATCAAAAATAAAGTTATAATTTAAAAATATGTAACTTTATAAAGTTAATAACTAAAACTATGTAAAATTTGCTTTTGGTATTAAAATTTAATGTACTGTTTTTGAAGTTTATTCCTTTAGTTACCTAAAATAGGAAAAGGACAATTGTAATTAAAGAAAAACGCAGTAATTACTGTTTTGAATCTGAGCCTACTTCGCAATAATAAATATAATACAGAGATAAATGAAAGGAAGTTGTTGAGGAAGATCCAGGCCACTTAAAAAAGAAATCCCTAAAGGCAAATTATATATAAATATAGCCAAGCGGATTTACAGCAATTGTATCCTAAAAGAAATCATTAGAGATCTTAGCTCAGACGAGGACAGGCAACATCAGTGACTTCTGAATTTCAAAGACTAGTAAAATCTCACAGCACCGTGGTGTTGCATACTTCTTTAAATTCTAAGTAAGGACTGTTTCCAAAACTAAAAATTCCCCCAAAAATTAATAAAAAATCTTCAAAAAAAACTTATAACCTGAAAAGTAAGATTATTAGGAAAAAAGTCTTTCCCAAGAAGGGCAGTAACTTCACAATGAGGTATACCACATATACAGCAGGTAAACTACACATTGTCCTTATTTTTCTTGATTTAATCCCAACTTGTAAAAACATCATCAGGAGCCAAGGATTGCAGACTGGTATTAGGGAGACACTGTGTTACAGAAGTTTTTTAAAAATTAAATGCAACAAGTAGCACATGCCTGGCACTTACGTTCTGTAGATAAAACAGTGAACAAAAGAAACATGGCTTTTGCTGCCATGGAGCATCCAATAAGTAAAGAAGAGACAGTAACCACACAAATAAATATAAAATTACAAAATGAGAAGTGATAGGTGAACAAGTACAGGTGCTATGAAAGCCTATAAAAGGGGGACTTGACCTAGTTTTGTGTCAAGGAAGAAGTCTCTGGACAAACAACATTTTACTTGAGGTCAGAACGGTCAGAGTTAGGGATAAAAAAGAGGTAGGGACATGGCAAAAGGAGGACACTCTAGGCAGAGATTAGAAAAAGTGCTCAAGATAGGAAGCAGCATGGTCACTTTGAGGAAATTTTTTAAAAGGCCACAATGACTAAAGCAGAGAGGCAAAGGGAGAGGGAAACTGGCACCAAGAGTTGGGCTGTTTCACATTTTTGTTGATGACCTGAAGACTGTATGCCCACCTAATCTGTGGATGACTAAAACTGGAATATCTAGTGAATAATAGAATCAAGACTAAAACAGACACTGATGTGCTTAAATGAATATTTAACATGACTAAAAGTTAAATCCTGAAGAGCCAACTGCACAAAAACACGTATGTAAGATGTTAACTGACATGTAAGAAAAAACACATATGGAAGATGAAACACATATGGAAGATATGCTCAAAAGCAGTTAAGTTATAAAAGGTCTGGGGTTTTGGTTTTTTTTTTGTTTTTTAAAAAGATGGGCTCTCCCTATGTTGCCCAGGCTGGTCACAAACCGCTGGGCTCAAGCAATCCTCCCACCTTGGCCTCCCAAAGTACTGGGATTACAGGAATAAGCTACCGCACCTGGGCAGGTCTGTGGTTTTTAATCAAAGTAAGAACAACAGTGTAACAGGGACAACAAGTATGCTAAAATAGTCCTAAACTCTTGCTAGACGCAGATGTCTCGAGCAAGCATCCTACTAGTCCACTATGCTCTGCAATGGTTAAGCCACACTGAAAAAAGTCTGTATTCAGCTCTAAGCAGTTGGCTTTAAAGGATACTAATAAATTAAAACATATTCATGGGCCTAGGGAAAAAAAGAGGTTTATTTTAGATAGTCATAGTTTGGCAACAAGGAAGCAACATGGTAAGTTTAAATATTTGAGGAGCCGTCATGTGGAAAAACAAGACTCATTTACAGAGTACAGGATGGCCAGTAAGTATAAATTAGAAAGGCAGACTTCAGTTCAATATGAAAGCATGTCCTACCATCCAGAAGTGGAAATGGCTGTTACATGTGAGCTCCCTCTCACTGGAAGTATGGAAGTGTTTAGGTAAAGACTGGAAGTTCATCTAATAAATGCTTTAGAGATTTTTACCTGGGTGGGAAGTGGAGTAGGTGACCTAGCATTTTATTACCAAAATGAAACTTAACCTTCCTCTAACATTCCTGTACCAATCCAATCAAAATGTAATTAAGATTCTAATCAACCAGACTGAAACTTTAAATAATATCTACATGACTTAGCAAAGAAAAAACTGAACTTTTGAAATATATAGTCTCAATATTTAATATACATACATATGATCATCTAACCAATGTGGTATAGGGGAGATAGAATTTCTCCCCCTCTACTTTCTGAGGGTCTCCAGCTGGGCCTAAGAATTAAACTAACCTAAGACAGATAAACAGGAGAAAAACATACAAATTTTATTTAATAATTTCTATACATAAATAGGCGCCTTCAAGAAAAAGAAGGACTAAAAAAGGTAATTAAGGCCAAAACCTTACATAGTAGATTGGACAAAGGAGAAGTAAACTGTGAAAACATTGCAAGACATAAAGGTTTGGGCTGGGGCAGTTAATCATAGAAAAGTGGCTAGGAAGATAAGGGTTACTTTAAGAAGGCTTATTTGAACAGATTTCTTTCAGCTTTGATTGCTCATCTCTGGTAATGATAATGTCTTCCTCCTGGCACAGGGAGGACAGCTTTCACATGGTTGTTTTATCACCAGCCTTCAGGAAATAAAGAAGGGTCAGAGTGCCCTTCTTACATCTGCTGCTTTTCAATATGCCTTTAACTCAAAATAATTCTTATGCCAAAGTAGCATATTTTGCTACCTTACATACCCACCAAAACCATATTTGAAAAGAAGCATTAGTTGCTTATTATTGAATTATTAATAGAAAATGATCCCCTTTGTTTCGGCATTATTTTCATCAGGTGCCCTAACTTTGAGTAAGGTTTATAATTTGAGGCAGCATATTAACTTGTTATCTTCTAACTGTACTTGGTATCTGGGAAACTTCATTACTAACTCCTTGGATTAAAACACAACACTATCTAGATATAAATATAATATAAATTAACAGTATATTAACTTGTTATCTTGTAACTGTACGTGGTATTTGGGAAACTTTATCACTAACTCCTTGGATTAAAATGCAACACCATCTAGAGACTACCTGAGAGAGTCTGTAAAAGTGGTTCTCAACTTGGTTCAGGAAAGAAGGCCTGAAATTTAGTTTATTTTGAAAACCATAAAATATTGATAAATATTAACACCTGTGACTATATAGGTGTTAAAGTAAGTAAAAGGTATGACTCTGAGATCTACATATAATATAAAAACACAACACAGAGAGCATGTTCACAAAAACAATCTGTTGAGGCCATCCTCTTATCAGTCACCACCACAGCTTTTTAGTGTCCCTCTTCGGTGCCTGCACATATTTCTGTCATAGTTCGGCAGCCGTTAAGTCACTGGGCCATTTCCCTCCATGAGCTTCTTGAGGAGAGCAGCCATGGTCTCTCTTCTGGCAGATACACAAGCCCTCAATAGATGTTTACTGAATAAATGCAGTAAATATCATTGGCAGTTTTTGTTTTTTTATTATTCGCTTAGTATTGTTTTGACTTTTGTTGATCTGGTCAGTCATCTATTAGTACTAGCTTGGAGAGAAGCAGAGGTTAAAGACATATGTGAAAGAAAACGTAAAACTGAAAATTTATCATTAAATTAATGCTTAGGTAAACTGGGAAACATTCACCATTTGATTTTAACAGGATATCTCCCCTTAGGGCATGCAACATAATTTGCAAGCCACTGGCATAGAATTCAACAAAAGACAAATTTCTGGTTAAGATTTCTCAAATAACTAGCAGCTCTCGTATTATTGTGCCACCTATAACACAGTCATTTTCTGCAAGATAAAAATATGCTTTCAAAAAGCATTTGAAGGATTTTCTAAATAAAGAACTGTTACTTTGTAATGCACAAGATCAGGGATTCCAAAAATGCCACATTCTCTAGTGGGTGGTACATACAGTGAATCACTTATTTTTCTAACAAATGAACTGTGGTAGTTCAAACATTCCTTATAAAAATATAAAAATTACATCATTGGTAACTGGCAAAGCAAAAATGAAAAAACTGCTCGAAAACTCCCTAAAAATTTAAACCATAATTCATTCATAAAATAACTAAAGTAAAATGGAAAAAGCTGAAAATGCAACACAATGACTAAATGAAGTACTGTACTGTAGTATTTGAAAAACCTCTGTGAAACCGGTTCTCCAAGTTTTCTATCAACCTCATTTACAAAGATTTAATTGAAATAAACATCAACTATTTTCACTGTCAAGTCAACTTTATCAGTAATAAATACCAAGTACTACTGACCGAGTCCCTAAAGATACTATTTATTACTCATTGTTTACTCTGAAAACAGACATCAACTTTTTTTTAAAGTTAACATAAATACATAGTGAAATAATTAGGCTAGAGTCACTATATATAGAGTCTGGAATGCCTGTTCCAGGATCAAAGATCTTGATCAGAAGATATAAACAGAGAGAGAGTGTTCGCGCGAGAGAAACTACAAAAGGATAAAGTACTGTACTAGGAGATTAAAAATACAGATTTCTAACAGTACCAGTGTGTTTACTAAACACATTTCATATTGGAAAAAACACACTAGTAACAATTCTCTCTGGACCTTCCTTGGTTTTTTTGGGAAGGGAAGGGGAAGGAAAGTGTGTTTGTATTTAGATGTGAGCCAAGAAGGATCAGGCTACACACATCAAATATAAAGTTCACTTACACCAAATGACAAATACTAATTTTTGAAACATACAGTCATATTCTTGAGAAAAGGTTTTAGAAACCGAAGCCAGGCCATGTGAAAGAGAAGGAGAAAAATCCATACTATATTTGAGCTCTGAATTCAGAAAGCATCACTTCTCAGATGGGTGACATCGACGTAGAGGTAACTAACATAGGATACCTGGCCGGTGGCAGCTCATAACCCCAGACAAAATTCTGAATAGACAGGTCATTTTATAGCAAGAAGAATGGGCGGAAGGGAGTGAAAACGAGTAACTTCATGCTGAAGGTGTGAGAACTATAAACAACTGAAAGTGTTCCAGCAGCTTTATATATGCCAGAGGCAACAACTGAATTATCTGGCACCGTTAAACAGGACAGTGTCAGAACACAGAAGGGTACACTACCTATAATAGGGATCAATTTCAATAACAATTGGAAATCCACATTTTGGAACACAAGACAAAATAACGGAAGGAATAATTTCAAAAGCTAACACAGAAGCCGCCTGCTCCTGCTGTGTAATCACTACCTTCTTATTCTTAGCAAGAAAACCTTTTTTTTTTTTTCCCCTCGCAGCGGGGTCTCGAGGTAGCAGCTAGTTTGACGAAGAAAGACCTTTGGGAAGGGCAGCGCCTAAGCCAATTCAGAAATGTGGGACTAAGTAGATCGACGTGGCTATTTCTGAGGTATCGCCCCAGGCAAAAGTCTCTTATTTGGAGTGTCCGGCCCGGCGGGGACCGAGACCGCGGGCTACCCTCGCGCTCGCTTTTGCTACGCCGCCTCCGCCCCTCCTCAAGCGCACCTGGACATTTAACCAACAGCTAAGTCCGCCGGCCGAAAGACTGCGCCGGCGGCAATATTCAAACAACCACTCAGGGACAGACGAGGAAAAACTCTCTCCGGGTCCCTCAGAACCGCCCCCAGGCGGGACAAGCCACCGCCACCCCGGGTAACTGGGACCCGCCGGGCAGGAGACCGGCGTACACAGAAGGGCCTCCCCAGCCGGCCCCACGCCCCAAGCCGAGGCCTGGGGAGGGCGCCGGGGCCGGGCCTCTCTCCCCGCCGAAGCCCGGCTCGGTAGCGGAGACCCAGCCGGGCTTTCTCTTCCGATTCCCAGGGTCCTGGAGCAGCTAGCAGGGGAAACAGCGAAAGCACAGCGCCGCGGAGCTCACCCCAGGTTCAAGGCATCGCGTACCCAGCGACCGCGGCAGCGCCGCCTCGGCCCACAGCTCAGCCCGGCGGGCGTCCGCGACTCGGCCCCGACCCGGTCGCACCTCAGTGACGTAAAGCCCCGCCCCCGGGGCGTTGCCTAGAGACGGCGCCCAACTTTCCCCGCCCCCGCCCCTCCGGACCTGCTCCGCAGCTCCGGAAGACTTTTGAGCCCAGATGGCCATCTGAGAGGAGAGGTGGCTGCGAAGGAGAGTCTCCCCTCGCCAGCTCCCGGTGCAGAGGCTTCATGAAGCGGCCCTGGAAACGGCCTAGCCGACTCCCATCTCTTCTGGTGCCGTCTCCGGAGCGGAAAGTCCAGCGCCCCGCTGGCGACCAAGGTCGCACTGAGAGCCCTGGTTTGGTCAAAAGTTGGGGTCCAAGATATCACTTCCCAGACCTCCAGCCTCCCCACTGATCATAGTTACACAAAGATCATCTAGTTCCATTATCAGGAAATCGGGCCGATTGTGTTCACCTAGCCAAGTTGTGAAGCATGAGAGAATGTATGAAAAGTAATCACACGTTCAAAATACTGAGCTTTGATAAATGATAGATATTATTATGATGAATACATGTGAGTCATATTATTGCTCTTCAGGACGTCTGAATCAGTGATTGTTGTCTGTTGAGCATCTGTTGTGTGCCAAATACTGCACTAGGCATTTTTACAGGCATTGCTCTTAAGTCGTTCTCTCAAAGTTGCCTGCACAATAAACAGCAGAGCAAGGATTTTAACCCAGGGGCGGCTGACACTACTGCCTCTAGGCTTAGCGGTTAAACTGCTTCTTATGCTTCTTAATGTTTGGACACCACTCCTTCACTTGTAGATTTACCCTGTGAAGAACTAATTCTTCCCTCTAAGAGTAATATTCGTTGACCATTTACAATATGTCAAACCCTGTTTTAAGAACTTTAAAGATATTAATTCGTTTAATCCTCTCAGGAATCCTGCGAGTAGGTATTATTAATACCTTCACTTTACAAATGAAGACAAAGGCTTAGAAGAGCCGATTAACTTTTCTAAGGTCAGACAACCGTTAAGAAGCAGAGCCAGATTCAAACCCAAGCAGAGAGAACCCTGAGCTTGCGCTTTTAATTCCTCTTTTAAACTGCCTCAGTAGTATGGTAAGACTTCATTAGGGATAGGTCAATGACTGTTTGTGCACCATTATTTCCCTGACAGCCAGCATGGTAATTGTTCAATATTTGAACATTTGATGAATATTTGAATACTGGAAAAGTGAAAAGCTTAAAAGTGAAGTACAATGATTTAGTAAATTCCAAGAGATATCAAATTAAATTCAACAAGATTCCATAGTTCAGCCTAATGCAGCTCCGGAAGTTAGAAATACTACTCTGTAAAAATGGCCTTCAATTAAACATTGTGTTGGAGGTTCTGGTCGATGAAATAAAACAAGACAAATAAATAAAAGGCATCCAAGTCAGAAAGGAAGTTGTTGCACTGCATTTATTTGTGTAAGAAAATTGTGGAATACTATTTAAAAGCTACTAGAATTAATAAGAATTAATAACTTTACACCTGGCTGGACTGTGACAGTGTCTGGACTTAGCCACAACTATGCTGTGCCCCAGAGCCGGCCCCAGAGCAGGGAGAGGTCAGACAGAGGTAGCAAGCACTTTCAAACTTATGGGGGCAAGGGGCTTCCTAGGCCCCTGGGAGCACAAAGATGCCTAGGTCCACAGCTGTGGCAGCGGCAGCTGTGCCCAGGAGGGCGGGGCTCCCATCCCACCAACTTGGAAGGGAGTGGGGATCCTGCCTGTTTCGGCTCCCATGGTTCTGTGGAGTGTGCAGCCCTGGTTGGGCCTTCCTCACTGCAGCCTGCATCTTCACAGCAGCTGCTCCAGACAGGCTGCCAGCCATCATATATAAAAACTAACTAAAAATGGATCATACATCTAAATGTAAAAGCTAAAATCACAAAACTTCGAGGAGACATCTTAGTGACCTTGGATTTTGCAAAGACTTCTTAAACATGGCACAAAAAGCACAAACTGTAAATGAAAAAAAAAATTGATGAATTGTACTTCATCAAAATTAAATACCTCTGCTTTTTAAGAGACTCTGTTAAGAAAATGAAAAGGTAAGCCACAGACTTGGAGAAATCATTTGCAAAACATGTATTTGATAAAGGACTTCTAACTAGAATACATAAATAACTCTTACAACCTGATAAGAAGACAACCCAACTTTTTTAAATGGGCAAAAAATTTGAATAGACATTTCACCAAAGATTTACAGATGACAAAATAAGCACATGAATTAGCATAATTAATCATTAGGGAAATGCAAATTAGAAAATAAGATTTTACTGTGCACTGTAGCTACTAGAATGGCTAAAATTTGAAAGACAGATCCTATCAAGTGTTGACAAGGATGTGGAACAACTGAGATTCTTCTATACAGCGTGTTGGAAAGGTAAAATAATACAAAAATTTTGGAAAAGAGTTTGGCTATTTCTTAAAAATCTAAATATACACTTACCACATGATCTAACCATTCTACTCCTACGTATTTACCCAAGAGAAATGAAAGCATATGTCTACACAGAGGCAGAATTCTGCTTTAATCAATTCAGAGAAAAGGTTACATTGGTGCATCCCAAGCCATCATTCTGGAAAAGGAGAATAAGGGAAGTTTGGATATTACAACAAAAATAATTATCTTTGACCCCATCCATACTTCATTAATTTCAGCTAATAACCCTCAGTGCAGAGTTCTCTGAGAAAACTCTTTTAAACATATGGCTAAGCCTGGAGAACTAAGTAGGATCCATAAAAAGAAAAATGCAACAGAGGCTATGAGTCCAGCTATCTAATTCCATATGTAGAGTAGAAGTAATGGTAGAAAATGGCTAACCTGCCTCTAGGACACAGACCCTGCCAGAGGCTGAGAGAGGAAGCAGTCGAGTGAGTGCCATGAATGGGTGCTGGGTTTTAAGGTAACTTAGCTACCTTGAAGTTTAAGGATAACCTCACCTATCAGTAAAATGTGTGTGCCTACCAGTAAAAGTCCTGCTCTTTATCAGTAGGCTTAGCAACTCCTCCTCCTATGAGGGTGGAATTGGAAAGGGCACATAAAGAATTGGGAGCAGGGATGGGAGTATTCTCTTGCTTATATTATAGTCTGAAGTGTTCCCCACTTCTGATTGTCATCACATGACATTTTTCCTTCCTGCAGATGCAGACCACCCAGCTTTCCCACTGACCACTGGATGATTATTACGTCATTTTGATTGAGTATATTAGTGCTTTGGTTTACCTGCCTTGGGGTTTCAGGCTTGGGGCAAGATTCCTTGCAGGCAATGCCTTGTTTCTGAACAAATCAGGATCAGGTTTGCCTCCTGACTCTGCCCAGATACCAGTCAATGCCAAGGGTGAATTGACATAATCTCTGATGCCTACTAATGGTATATGCCTCATCCCACCCTCCTTTCCGGATTTACCACCCAGACATATTTTCCATGCGGGATCTTCAGATTTAAACATCTTCTCCCCATATTTATCCTACATAGAAATTTCTGTTACGTTCTTTAACTTGATAGTACATCTTTGATACATTCTTTTATTAATCTTCTGATGGAGAAAACATGATTTTATGACATTTGGTTATGATACTATAGCTTTATTCAGTTTTGTAACATCGAAGTCATTGTTATTACTATTATCATTTATGATGTTGACTTTGCTGAAATGGTGATCTTTATAGGTAAAAGAATGTGCACTGTTGAGTACTGAATTAGGTCTTTTGGTATTCATGAAGGTTTTATTTTTAATTGATTTTGTCTTTTTTGTTTGTTTGTTTGAGATGGAGTCTTGCTCTGTTGCCCTGGCTGGAGTGCCGTGGCGCAATCTCGGCTCATGACAACCTCCACCTCTGAGTTCAAGGAATTCTCTACCTCAGACTCCCAAGTAGCTGGGATTACAGGTGCCTGCCATCATGCATGGCTAATTTTTTTGTATTTTTAGTAGAGACAGGGTTTTGCCATCTGGACCAGGCTGGTCTTGAACTCCCGACCTTGTGATCCACCCACTTCAGCCTCCCAAAGTGCTGGGATTATAGGCGTGAGCCACCATGCCCTGTCAATTTTGTCCTTTTTTATATCACAAAAATATTTTCAACTTCACTAAAGGCAAAATTCAAACAACAGTGGAGTGGTAAAATAAGTCTGGAAGTTATCAAAAAGGAGTCTTATTTTCAGAAAATTATAGCATTTAGTGCAGAATTTCAGATTGCCAAGAAAGCATCCTAGGCTTCAAAGACTGAAATAGAAATATAGAGACCAAGGAATCAAATTTTTGCCAATACTTCTTAGCTTTGTTATTGCGGAGGGAGCTCAGTTTGTTTTTAATTAATCACAGTTCAAAACACACTGCAGTTTAGGTTCCCTAGTAAGATAAATACCATTTGACTCACAGAAGTGAGTCAAAATTTAAGTGGACAAAAACAGTTAGCTCTGTACAGAATGACCTTAGCACTTAATGCAGATAACTGGATAAAGGTATAACTTGCAACTCATGAAATCTCAATAAATAAATGTATACATGTATTAATTCAACAACATTTACTGAGAGACTACTCAGTAAATGTGCTAGATTTACATATACTATGCAAGTGCTAAAAATGCAAGAAAAAATATGTACACAATTAACATAATACAATGTGGCATATAATAACACAGATAAATAAACAAATTTTAAAAAGAAGGAATGAGAAAAACTCATTAATGTGGTAGGAGGCAGCTTTCTAAAATGGCTCCCAACGATCTTCACATCTTGGTATTCATGCCCTTGTATAATCCACTCCCCTTAAGCATAGCTGGACATAGTGACTTCCTTCTAATGAATAAAATATGGCAAAAATAATTGGATGTCACTTCCAAGATTAGATCTAAAAGATTATGACTTTCATCTTGCTAGCACACTTCCTTTCTGGCTCTTCTTGCTTGTTGCTCTGATGAAGTAAACTGCTATTTTGTGAGCTGTCCCAAAGGAGAGGTCTACTGGGAAAGAACAGAGGGTAGCCTTTGGCCAACTGCAAACAAGGAACTAAATCCTGTCAAC